AAAATGAATGAAAGGAGAATTTCTACCTTACAGACGTGAAAATATCAAAGCAGATTAAAGAAGCTGAGGAGAGTTTAAATAAGGCTGAGGTCCGAGAGTCAAAGTTCAGAAAACTGTGTTTGGAGGAAGCAGCGAAGCTTCAGCAAGTCTTCCTCGTCTGTTTGTAGGACAGAAAGTTCTGACGGCGCCTAAACGCCTCGTTTGGTTTGCAAATCATTGAAAAAAATTCATCATTTTCTTTGAAAGATGAATTTTTCTGAGTAGCTTGAAAAACATTTTTCCAAAAACACATGAAAGCAGATGTAAATGTGACCTTTCCAGAGCTGCTCCCCCTCCTCCTCCTGTTGGGTTTTAGGCTAACAGTTTCCATTGGTTCTCAGTGTTTGTGCTAAGCTAACCCTGTGAAACCGAGGCTGTGGTGAAGGCGGACTGCTCCTTTAACTGTGTCTGTTGGGCCTGAGCTCCCTGATCGTCCCCACACATCACAGAGGAGGAGGAGGGTGGAAATTCCCACTGATGTGACTCCATCAGCACCGAGCTGTGTCATTAACCCTTCGCTTACCATCCACAGGAAAATCCCTGAAGGAGGAAGAACAGGTCAGCTGCCTCCTCCTCATCATCATCATCATCATCATCATCATCGTTGTCAGCGCTGAGCCATGGCAGGAGCCCTGCGGTACGTCTGCTGTTAACCCTGTAATGTGCTGTGATGCGTTTCCTGTTTGTTATGAGATGTTTTGGAATCCTGTTGCTCAAAGCTCAGCGACGCACAGGAATGTTTCTGTGGTTTCTACGGAAGCCCCGAAGCTCCAAAAAGTGATTTTTGTTTTGGTTTGTAGGTTGTGCACTGAAGTTAAAGCAGGTTGTGTATCTCACTTCCTGTCCTGCTCGCTGCAGCGCCAGGGTTTTGTTTTAAATCGTCATGGCACTATTATTATTATTGTTGTTGTTGTTATTAGTAATATTAATTCAACTTTATTTATAACAGTCGCCTCAAGGTGCTTTATATTGTAAGGTCAACCCTACAATAATACATACAGACAAAACCCCAACAATCATGTGACCCCCTATGAGCAGCACTTTGGTGACAGTGGGAAGGAAAAACTCCCTTTTAACAGGAAGAAACCTCCAGCAGAACCAGGCTCAGGGAGGGGCGGGGCCATCTGCTGCGACCCAAGACGTTTGGGTCCATGTTCTTTTCACCATTTTTAATCAGAACGACTTCACTTCAATGTTACACTGACTGCACTCACAGCGCTTTATGCAGCACACACAAACACACACATAAAGAGCAGTGATGTGATTGGTCCTCCAAACGAGTTTTTTACCCTCTGACAGTGAAACACCGACCGTGAGCTGATGAATGAGAGCAAACACAAACATGAATCAAAAGGTTAAAGGTCGTGAAAATGTGACAGTGTCACGCTTGGTGCACTCGGGTGTGTTTGTCCTCCACGTGTCTGCGTGGGTTGCCAGACAGGTGTGTTCGATCACCTGAGGAAATGAACCCAAACCTGCGTAGCGTCTGCGTCCTCCGGCTGTAGGCTCCACCCCCTCGCCCCTGACTTGATTTGCAGGAAAGAAATCATTTTTAAACCGCCAACAGACCGCCGCTCTGAAGCGTGTCATGCTTTCTCTCGTGGATTGCATAAATCATCATTCAGCGCAGCTCACATGTAGGTATGTAGTGCCCCTCTGCAGGCTTCCACAAGTTGTCCAATCAGAGAAAAGTATGTTTTTAAAGAGACAGGAGCCTGTTTGAGACGGAGGATGGACTGATGCTTCGGTCCCAAGCCAACAGCAGCCTGTTTTAGATTAAATAAATCATCTGACCAGCTGAGACCTCAGTCTGTTTTGTGTTTCCGTGACAACCAGCAGCTGATGACTAACACCTCGTTAAGGCGCATGGAGGTTGTTTCTGAAACAGCGGTTGCTACAAAACATCCCAGCGCAGCGGAAAGTTTGACTCTATATGGCTCTCACCTGAAAGCGATGGGAACCTCTGATGCAGACTGACGTTGGTTTATTCGTTCAGTTTGTTGCTGCTCTTCCTCATAATCAGAGCCAAGCTGCAGGAAGCGCCTGATGTTTACAATAGGGGCCAGTTTAATACGGGTCAGAATAAGAAAATAAAACTGACAAACCATCTCATCCTCAGATTTGGATTATAAGTGACGCCCTGTCTGCGCCTGTCAGGTAAAAATACACGTTAGACGCTGTCGGTTTTCTTCATCACTCCTGTATCAGCTCAGTGTATGTTTGCAATAATAATAATAACAACAGGAAATAATAATATTGTAGTGAGAATAATAACAGGTGTATTCGAGTCGTTCTAGTTCATTTTTCCTTGATGAGAAACTAAAAGAGCAGCGTTTGTGTCCCCGTGAAGCCCACACACACCCTGGTTTATTTAAAGTTTATTAAAGTTCTTCTGGCGGTTGTTCTGCTAACAGGCAGCAAAGACGACGTTGTTGCTGTTACATTTAGAAGTTCATATGTGGGGAATATTCTCTGACTCATGGCAAATATTTCCTGATTTTACATGCCTCCATTGAACTTCTCATCACAGAACAATAGTGGATTCAGACACTCGTATCACTGCAGTAAAAAGAACATAAATGTGTTTATCAGTGTGGAAACTAGTGCTGGGTCATTTCACACCGTTCACAGTAACACCGGTATGATGTTGGGCAACGATAAGAAAATGAAATATGGCGATAGAATATGGGTAAAACGCGCATGCGCAGTGCCTTTGTTTACATACGCACATGGCCGAAAAATGGCGGTGACGCAGAATGAGAAGAGCGAAAGCGGATCGTTGAGTGAAACCATGAACCTGAACTGGTTTGTAAAAATGCTGCAGCTTCAGTGGTGTGGAACTGGTTTAGCTTTCGTCCGTCAGATACACAACAAAGCACTATTTTTGGTAGAGCATGCTAGCGGGCCGTCGTTATTACCGTGTTGTTTGGAAAATACGGCGCACTTAAAATCAATCCTTTGATTTTTCTGACAGTCGACAGAGCCCCTTATAATCCCATGTGCCTTATGTATGAACTCTGGTTGTGTTTACTGACCTCGAGACGATTTTATGTGCACGGCGCTCGAAAATCTGTCAGATGTTTCAGTACGACTTTGCTGAGCTACGAAGCCGCACCGCTTGATGGATTGTCGGAGCATTACGGCTGTCGTAGGCGGAGCCTCGCGGAGTGATACGTACTGTGCTTCAACATAATGTTACCGTACTGTGTGTGTATAAGCTCTTTTTAAGTGTTGTGGATATTATACATGGTTATGCTGAGGATGTGTCGGCCAGTTTCCACTGGAAATGCCTTTTGGTTAAACTGTCAGTGAGGAATTTGCATTTGCACTGTTACGTTTTTATATAACTTTAATGCAGATAAAAAACAGCTGCTTGTTTCAGTGGAAATGCATTGATGGGGTTTTTTGCACTAATAAAGTTGAGGAGTTGTAAAGTATTTTGTCTCGTGCCAATTATATCCTCAGTTATATCGTTATCGCAAATTTTCAAATGTATATATTGATATAAGTATTTCTGCTCTGGTGGAAACAATCTGATTTATCTGAATGGAAAAGTTAAAGTTCAGCTTTTAAGGTTTTAATCTCTACTCGAGGCGGTTACAAGATGTTTGTTTTCATGACAGAAGCTCTGTTAATAATCTGGATCTGATTTGAGATTATTTCAGTTTCTTATTGGCTCTAACGTTCTGATCCATCACTTTGAGCGTTTCTTACTAACTAATGTTACTGACAGGTCGAATCCTCCTGCCTGTAAATCACTGTCTCATCTGTTTTAACATTTAGAAATGTTTGTGAGTCTAAGGGACGGTCTACGTAAGCATGAAACGCTCCACCTGTAGATCTCCACCCTCATCCTGCTCTTCGTCTTTTCCTTCTAACGTATTGGAGGACGTGGTTTTCCAGCAGCTGCAGGTTTTTCAGCCTGGCTCCACAGAAGCTGCTCTTTTGTCTGTTGTTAATGATCGCATGTGTTGTTGACGGTGGTGATGCTGCTCTGATACAGTGGATCACATGATCTGGATCTCCTGAACTGTCGGATACTGTCTCTGGGGCATACCTCAGGGTTCGGGTCTGGGACCACTTGTCTTTTCACTGCATGTGCTGCCACATGTTGCGGATCATTTCTATGCTGATGACGCTCTGACGGGTAACTCTTTGTTGTCATTGCACAGTCATACCTAGAACAACAGTACAATGAAATACGACACACAACACAAACAGGACAACACAGTAACTTAACTAAATAAAAGGAAGAAATAAAAGGGACGTTTTATTGCACATTTTTATTGTTATTATTATTATTATTGTTGTTACCCCCCCCCCAAAAAAGTCCAGGGAGGTAGCCAATCAGGTCAGCTGATGTGCCGGTCCTTCAGGGAGGGAAGAGGATGTCCAATGATTTTTTGGGCCATATTAATGACCCTCTGAACCTACATGACGTTCATCAGCTGCCGGTCGCACTCTCCATAACTCCTCCTTCAGATCTTGAGCCCTGACATCAGGTAATGTTGGAGTCATATTTGATTCTTTCATTTGGCTCAGGTATCGAATACGTTGATAAAGCAGCGTACTTTAGACTTAACTGAAGTTAAACCGTCTGTTTCTGGTAGAAAGGTCTAATATAATGATTGCAGCGGGTTCATAATGCTGCTGACACGGAGGCGTGGCCATTATTGGCCCGTCCTCTGATTGTTGCACTGGCTTCCGGTGACGTGCACACAAACATTTCAAATATTGTCGCTAACTGCTTTACGGGGTTCGTCTACGTCACGTGTCATTCACTGAGGTCCGCCTACTAGCTGCTGATTGGTTCGCACTGCTGACCGGGCGTTGTGAAACTCCAGAATCGTCTTCCTCATTACCAGCCTTCAAACTGAAGAAAACCCTTCTCTTCATCATCGTTCTCAGCTTCAGACTGGGTTCAGCTTCTGTTTTTCTATCATTGTTTTACTTTTTATCTTATTTCTCTTGTCTTTCTTTATTAAATGATTATTCTTATTTTTACTTGTTATGCAGCACTTTGCTCGTTGCTTCAGTGTGGGGTAGAAATGCAGCGACAGAATCAGGAGCGGCAGTGAGGCCGATAGCAGAAACTCAGTCTGCAGCTCGAACGTCTCAGGCTGATTATTTATAACCATCATAAACCAAACATAACCAGATTCAAGCTGCACAAGTTTCATGAAGGTCAGTGCAGCTCACAGCTGACTCACAAACCGTGAATAAGACACGAGAAGAACAAATCCAACAAAATAAAGAAAAGACACAAATAAACTAAACTAGGAACAATGTGCAGTAATCAATAAGCTCTGATCAGCAGGTGGAAGAAGCTTTCAGATCCATTCAAACCTGCAGCGTTTTTATTTACTGGTGAGACGAATCAGGATCCACAGTTTGGTTAAATACACACAAACGAAGAATGTGACATCACATTTGCACTGGCATGTTTTTTTAAATACAGATGTTAATAATGTGCGTGACGATGACTCATTGTACCATCTGCTGGTGCAAATCGGTATTACACAAAAGTCAAACTGTATCTGAAGATAAAGTTTCACAAACTGAGCGCGCGGCTCTGTTCACATCATACATGCTTCCCTCAGGCTGGATCATCATAGCAAACATTTCTACTGCTATGCTGATGACACCCAGCTCTCTGTCCGTGAAGCCAGATAACACACATCAGTTAAACTGCAGGTCTTAAAGATTCCTGCAGCTGCTGTCAGCTGTTCTTCTGTGGTGAATGACTGAAGCTCTTCGGCTGTAGAGCGTCCGGATGCTTCGGGAAACAAGCTGAAGGAGCTGGAAGCAGCCTGGGACGTCTGCTCGAGGTCACAAACATGAAGTGTGTCGCATGGGCATCCTCAGCTGTTGTTTGTGTGTCTGCATCGCGTTCGGTGCTTCTCACGCTGCATGTTTCATCAGGTTAATTCAAGCGAATGACTGAAGCTGTTTCAGGGAAACATGAAAGAAATAACCTCTGTGGATTCCTGCAGACTTCCCCTCGGGTTTTCTCTCATCTTGCTCGTACTCTACCTTTGTGGGTTTGTCTCTGCACAGCGCTCTGATTGGTCGATGCGCTGAGAGGGGCTGTCCCGTCACAGCGGGTTGAAGCTGGGAGAGCAGTGAGCTTCGCATCAGTTTTGAGTCAGAGGCGTTAGACGAGGGACAGGAAGTCGAACGAGAAACCAGCAAAAAGACAGAAAAGAGAGCAAAGAGGAAGCAGAGCGGAGCCGGACGCCCGGCTGTGACAGAGCGCCGTTCACAGCTGTAACCTCTGCAGGTTCGTCCCTGTCTGCTGGTTCTAGCTTCACGCTGGGCTTCAGCTTTAATCAGCTGCTTTGTCTCAGTGTTAAACTGCTGGGGTCTGACGGCTGAACGCTGTCGGGCCGGTTTCTCGTCCGCTCTCTCGTGACTGTGCTGCAGACCTCATCAGCTGTTTACGCTCTGATGAGGTGAAATAAGCTGTGAGAGTGCGGCTGTAGTTATTTACTGCTCTTTAAGCTCCACACGGCTGCTTCCATTCGAAGCTGTTTCTGTAGAAGTCGTTCACACCATCATGAGTGTTATTTAAAGACTTTAACTGTCTCAGGATGTCGACTCTGTCTTTATTTTTCAGCTCGAATGTTTATCTCTGTTTTTCTTTTTGTTTGTTGTTGCTCTTCTTCCTCGTCTGCCTCACCGGCAGCAGCAGAGTGACATCAGCAGCTGTAGCCCCGCCTCCTCTCTCTGCAGGCCTGGGATTCTGGGGGTTTTCCTCAGCTCAGCCACTTCCAGGAAGTGACTGAAAGCAGAGCGAGATACGGGAAGGGGAGGGGCAGAGAGAGAGGGGGGAGATTAGAGACAAACAGCAGAGAAGAAGGAGGGAAGGAGAGAGGTCGTGCAGTTTTTGAGTGCGTGAAAGTGAAACTGCTGAACTTTGGATCGCTTTGCTGCGCTCTTGTGTCTTTGTCCGCCTCTCGGGACTTTCAGCTTCAGCCTGAGGGGGCTTAAAGCGACTCGGCTCGGCCGATGGTTCCTCCGACACGCCTCTGACTTTCTCAACGCTTCTCACTGACTGTCTCTGTTTGTGCTGCAGGATGACTGAAGCCCAGTTCATCGGCGGCTACGAGCACGACGTAAGTACTTTCTCTACATTTGTCTTTATTCTCTCCACTACAGGAAGTGTGTTTTTAATCCAGCTGATCAGCGAGCGTGCCTGAGCCTCGCTCTAACCGTTCGTTCTGACACGAGAACGTGGAAATGATTTCAGGTCTCCTCTGATTACATCATCCTGAGTGGATTCAGAGGTTTTCTGCACATCTGTGAAGTTTTATTTGATGTCTAAAAGAAGAGACGCGTTTACATCAAAGCCTGAAATCAAAGCGTGCGGTGGGCTCTTTGTTGTAAACCTGTGGAGACCTCAGCAGGAAGCAGCGACACAAAACCAGTTCAGAAAACTTTTCATACGGTGCGCGAGGATCGGATCAGTGTTGGATGTTGACTCGGGAGCAATGACACCGTTTCCAGTTAAAGAGGAAGCCACTTCTCATTCAAAGAAGCACAGCTTTGTATTTAACCAGGCGAGAGGTGCAGGTGACACAACGAAGCGTCGCAGAGCTTCAGTCGGTTGCTGCTCGTTTTCGCTTTGATGCAACAACAACGCGTTTGAATAAAGTTGTTCCTGCTTCTCATTAACTGAGGAGGCCTACCACAAGCCAAACAGGCTCCAGATGTTTGCACTGGGTGTCTGCTTCAGGTTAGCTGCTGGAGTACGAGCTCAGCGCGGTGCGTTCATTAGGACGGCCGCAGTTGTCGCTCCTGTAGACGTGGCTCAGGATTAATGTGCAACTTACAAGCTTAAATTTGGTAAAGCATCCCAAAAATGACATTTAAAATCTTCTTCATTCTCTATATGAGTGAATTCTGTGCAGCTGAATGCAATCATGCAGAAAGGTGTAAAACAAGTGGAGGCAGTTAAAGAACAGAGTGCTTCAGTTACGGTAAGAAATAACCGATTCGTTTGAAACTCGTTAAAAAGCAGAAATCTGAGGGGCTGCGAGGGGGTTTACAGCGCTAATGATTCACGTTTAACTGATCAATCATTTTGATACCAGGGATGTGTCAGTTTTGCCGATAAATCGATGATTCACAGGAACGTTATGAAGCCCCTGAAACTGTTTTACAAGGGTTACCTAGGCAACTGGAGTCTGGAATGTCCGCCAGCGACCAATCGTAAGCCACAGAGTGAGGCACAACGAACGAGCCGCTTCCTGTGTGATGGAGGTGTTCCACAGGGATCGACATTGGGCCCGCTGCCTTTATACATCACAACTGTAACATGTGCTTTTACACCGACAGCACAGTCTGATGGTACTGAAAGGTCTGAGCTGTAAAGACGATCGATCGACGCTCTGTTAAAGATGTTTCTGCTTGTTCGTCCTCAGCTGCAGCAGTTCATGCCGTACGACTATATTCCAGTGGACATAAAGACAGAGCCCTTCATGCCTGAGACAGGTGAGCATTCAGGACGATGTCACAGTCACGTCAAACTATGGAACAGGTTGAACTCCCAGCTCATTTTTTGCCTCCTTAATCAGAAAAAAGATGCGTGCCATTGTAGGAAACAACATCAATCTGCAGACTCTCATTTGTGTTTGTTATTTAAGTCAGTTTGTTGCCTTTAACACACTGACCTCCTGTCTGAAGCATCTCACTGCACCACAACATCTGGTTTAAAAAGGTCAAAGGTGAACCATTAACGGGTCTGACTGAGAACACGGTCAGGCTGGAGTCAGGAGCTCCTGAGAACACACGAGTGTGTTTGAAACCAAGCCTTGTGAAGTCCAGAGCCTTTCACCATCTTTAGGTTTTGCTACAACCTCAAACAGCTCAGGATGGACGCAGCTCTCTGATCCTGCCCTGGGGGCGCCCCAGTACCCTCCCTCAGTTTTAGAAACATGTACAGTCTGGGTTTCATACCCAGAAGTGTGTGTGTGTGTCGGTTAGTGGGCATCAGTACTGTAACATGTTACAAGAAACTCCACAAAACTCCAGCGAATAACACCTGGTCATCTAGAACCTTCTAGAATTTACTCACGTCTGGTAACATTTTGCTTCTCGCTGATGAAATAGTGAAAGTTGATGATGATTTTGAGAAATGATCAGTCACAGCGACTGACGAGTGTTTTTTCTTCACCTGTGTTTGTGTTGTAGCTCACGGCCCGTACATTCAGATCATCGAAGAGCCCAAACAGGTGAGACTCACATCTTACTTCCTGTTACAAACACGACAAGGCAGCGGTGGGTGGATAAAGACTGCAGTGGAAACATGGAGGTGACAAAGATAAAGATCGAAGCAGTCGTCAACAATATAGCGTAGCAATAAGACACAGACGGCCTGATAAACCTGGATTCTTGGTGGTTCAGATCTTCAACAATGGTTTAAACGTGATTGTTCCTTTGTTAGTCCTCATTTGAATTTTATTCACCGGTGGAGTGATTAACAGACGCCAGCATTACCGACGAACGGTCCATTAAGTGCTGTAGCTGCTGATGGTGTCCCACAGGGATCAGAGTCAGGTTCACTGCTTTGTCCCAGTCCAGTTTTATTCCCCTGAGCCTACCACAGACATCATAACATTAACGTCTTATCCTGATGTTTTAAAGTTTGAAGTAGAAAAGCTCTGACAATACAAAGTCTACAGCTGTGGTGGGATGCAGCGTGATGACGTAACACCAGCAGCACGACACAAAAATGTGTTTGTTGTTGTGTGTAACGTGAAGCCGAACGATGCCCTGCATGGCAAAGCAAACAAAGGATTTGAACAGCGTGAGGTGATGAATGAGCTCAAAGCTCCGACCTGAGCTGAAGCTCAAACAGGAAGAAGAGACTTCGTTCAGACTCAGAGCGGTGCTTCCCCGGCGGGCTGATCCACACGTTAATACAACAGTCACTTCCTTTTATCCAGGGTTTTCCCAACAGTCATATAAGAACACGGGACAGAGCCGACGAGCACAAACAGGGAGTTTCTGCTGCTAAAGGTTGCGTGTCTGCTGACTGTCTCTATGCAAATCGCTCAGTTCTGCTCTGAAGACAAAGGAAGTGCCGAGTTTACGCAACCAGTGCTGAAGTAGTGACGCAAACGCTCACAGCACCACAGCCTGCACACCGGCTCTGATATGCAGTCGCATTTTTAGCTTTTCTTCAGAATAAAGTTTTAATAAAGTTTAAGATCACGAGTCATGCACACAGCAGCTGTTTGTAATGAAATGAACAACAGTTTCAGACCCGTCGCCTTGTTTTAAATGTTGTTGAATTCATGCACTGCTTTGAAGAGAAAGTGAAACTGTGAGCGTGACGGCTCAGGGAAACAAATACAGATGTTCCCTTATCTTGACTGCTGTGCTTATCTTTAACGTGTGTGTGTTTACAGAGGGGATTTCGTTTCCGTTATGAGTGCGAGGGTCCATCACACGGCGGGCTCCCGGGGGCCTCCAGCGAGAAGAACAAGAGAACGTACCCCACAGTGAGGGTGGGTAACACACGTCAATAACAACCTCGGCATTTTGCCACGTTCACCTCTCCGGCGGTCAATGTTTCTGTACGTCGACCTAAAACTGAACTCAGTCAGGTCGTTTTAAAAAACAAACCCTCGGACATTTGTTTCTGGATGAACGATCCAATAATCAATCAGTGCTGATCGGGAAATGTGGACGTGGAGTTTCCAGCCAGGTGGGGGCGAGCGCCACATTTGTACCGATCTTCACGACAGTTTGAGGAACAAATGTTCTTCACGCACACTGATCGGTGACAGTTTGCATCCAGGGAATCCGATGAGCGTCCCTGTTCGTGCTGTCTCTCTATATTTACAGTTAAAGACTTTTTGGAACTTTTTTATCGGGTATTTTCAGGACAGGAAATGTGGGAGAGCTCGGTACTACACCTGATCTCCCTGTGCGTGGAGACGCTCGGAGGAGCTCTTAGCAATAATAAACATAAATGTTTATCCGCAGAGAGCCACGCGTGTGTGGTAATGACGTAAAAGCCGGTGTCCCACAGGGCTCCACGCTGGGCTCGTTATCGTTCGTGTCCTAAAGCAGGTTTTGAAACGTTCTCCCACAATACGTTTTCTGATGTTTGTGTAATAATTGTGCAACACGTGGCTCAAAGTTCACCACTGCAGAACCTCCAGCCTTCATCTTTACACACCTTTAACCAGAACATCCACCATTTTTATTAAAGCTGTTCATGGAGTCCAACCTGAAGCCCGCCTGTGGCGTGCAGACCGTAATGCTGTCTTTGTTCCTCAGATCAATAACTACGTGGGTCTGGCCCGGGTCGAGGTCCAGCTAGTGACGCACACCGACCCTCCTCGCGTCCACGCCCACAGTCTGGTTGGACGCCACTGCGTCGAAAACGGCACCTGCACCATCGACATTGGCCCCAACGACCTCACCGCCTCGTCAGTATCCAATCACATCACGGCATTATTACCCCCTCCCTTTTTATTTACTTCCCCTTGGCCTTATTATTATTAAAAAACACAAGGACCCCCTCAGAGTCAGCTTCTAGTCAGTCTTTGGTCACTTTGAATCTTTTTTATTTAATATTTATTTTATTGTTATTTCGTTTTCTTTGTCAGTTGGATGTTGTTTTCGATGTGCTCTTTGTTGCTCTAAAGTTTGGATTTAGTGTCAGACAGTTTAAAGACAGAGAGGCAGACGGTTTGTGTGTTTGTGCCTCTTTGTGCTGCTGTGAGGGAAAAGTCCAAAGAGGAAGTCGCAGCTTTCTGTCTGAGATTCAGATGAAATCCAGCAAAGTGTTGGGAATCTTTACTGCAATGAAAAAACCCAGAGAGAAAAACAAAAACACACTGAACACATCGCTGCCTGTGTTTCACTGCAGTCACGACCTTTATGTAGAAAAGAGACTGTGCATAATGGATGATGTCACTTCCTGTAGGTTCAGCAACCTGGGGATCCTCCATGTGACCAAGAAGGGTGTGGTTGAAGTTCTGACCCGGAGGCTGAGAGAAGAGAAGAAGCGGCTCAAAGGGCCGCACTGTCACCTGACAGGTAGACTCACCTGAACACCTCAGTCCTGAGTCTTTGTTTCGCTTTGTCACCGTTTAAAATGGTTTGCTGTTCGTTTTCAGAAACGATAAGTAATCGTTTTGCTTTCAGACGTTCAGAAACAGAAAGTCAGAATTCTCCTTTCAGTTTTTGAACTTCCTGTTTCTTTAAGCATCAGAACATGCCGTGCTGTCATGTCCGCACACAAACGTCAGACCGTACACGTAGCGATCAGCTCAGCGGGACGAGCAGAATAAAAGGTGTCGAACTCGTGCGTGTTTGCAGATGTCGAGGAGTCGGCCATCGTGAAGGAGGCCAAGGAGCTAGGGAAGACGATGGACCTGAACATCGTCAGGTTAAAGTTCACCGCCTACCTGCAGGACAGCACCGGCGCCTTCACCCGAGCGCTGAAGCCCGTCGTCTCCAACCCCATCTACGACAGCAGTGAGTCCTCAGTAAAGATTTGCTTAGACGAGAGCTCGCTGTGCTGCAGAGGTGGACGAAATCAATGCTGACCATGCAGCGTCCTCAGGCCTCTGATTGGATAGAGGTTTGAGCGTCCTGCTCAGCTGATCTGAGCGCAGTGAACTTTGTAACGATGAGCTGTATTTGCAGACGTGTTTAGTGCTGAAGTAACCAGTTTGTTTATTAAAGTAAACAATGTAACTGATGAAGAAGCAGAAAATGAACCGCACTGCAGACGCTGACAGAAGCTCAGCTCTGATAAAAATCTGTTCCTCCTGCAGAGTCTCCCAACGCCTCCAACCTGAAGATCTCCCGCATGGATAAGACGTGCGGCTCGGTGCTCGGAGGAGACGAGATCTTCTTGCTCTGCGACAAAGTCCAGAAAGGTAAACAACAAACCTCCAGCGCTTTGTTTTCACCGCCGCTCAGGCTGCAGACATATCCCATCATGCCTCTGTGCTCCTCAGATGACATCGAGATCCGGTTTTACGAGGAGGACGAGGACGGATGCTGGGAGGCATTTGGGGACTTCTCACCTACGGACGTCCACAAACAGGTAAGTGTGTGTGTGGGAACCAATATCCCGTCCCCACAAGTTGGAGACTCAAAATGTGGTTTTAGTGTCAGGGTTACATTTGGGGTGTGTGTGTGTGTGTGTGTGTGTGTGTGTGTGTGTCTGTGTGTCTGTGTGTGCGTGCGTGCGTGCGTGCGTGTGTGTGTGTGTGTGCGTGCGTGCGTGCGTGCGTGCGTGCGTGTGTGCGTGCGTGTGTGTGTGTGTGTGTGCGCGCGCTCTGAGGGGAATTCCTCCAAACGGGCTGCAGACACATCTGCCCGCTGGACGAGTTCACCTGCCTCAGCTTCAGCTTGAGGCTGCGTTTGGGGGAAGCAGCTCTGCCAGAAATCCCGTCTCAGATCTGCTTCGTAGGAAATGTCTGAGTCGCCGAGAGACAAACAGAGGCAGCCTTCAACACAATAAACCTGCAGTTTGTGGGTTTGTGGTGTGTGACGTTAAAAATTGTGAAAATAATATTAATAAAGTGTCGGTGGCTTTTTTCGATGTGCAGGAAAGCCCCCACGCACAGCACAGCATGTGTAACGTCATTAAAGAGGAAGTCATGTGACGCACTGCAGCTGTGCACAGTGAACACAGACGACTGTCAGTGTTTTTATAAATGCTCTCATCACTGCACTCACCTCAGGTTTTTCTACTCCTGCTCTGTATGATGTCACAAAGGGCAGGTAGCTCCCAGCCACAGAAGCCCCACCCACTTTAAAGTCTTGCATTTGTGAGCGTGCTCAGAGAGGAATAAGGCGTTTATTTAGTAGAGATCCATCGTGGATCACATGTCTGAACTGAAATGGAACCAGCCCCTTAGTTTGGCTCGCAGTGGAGCTGATGTTTCCCATAAGGCACTGCTGTCCTGCTACTGCGTGCTGATTGGTCGGTTAAGGGTTTAGGATGCTGTAAAGCGGCTTGTGCTGTTGTGATGTTCCTGATACTCACAGAAACCAGCAAAACTTTTTTCTCCAGTCTGTTAAAGACGCTTTTACCAGCTCAAGAGCGCCCCCTGTGGAACAGGAAGACCATACACGGGCGGTTCTCCGTGGTGTTGGAGGCTCTTTGGCATTGTCTTAAAGGGGGAGGAGCTACAACAGCTTATTTTAGGCCAAGGGTGATCTGAGAGGCTGTGTAATGTAAAGAAGGATTATTTCGAGCCTTCACTCATGCAAAGCTGGTCTAATAGAGGCCACGAAGAAGAAAACGCTTAACACTGAGTAACTGTTCTCCTCCCTGCAGTACGCCATCGTGTTCAAAACGCCGGCCTATCACAGCACAGAGATCGAGCGGCCCGTCACCGTCTTCCTGCAGCTGAGGAGGAAGAAGGCGGGCGACAGCAGTGACCCCAAACAGTTCACTTACATCCCGCAAGTCCTAGGTGAGCCGCCACGCTGCACACAGCACATTCTAACCGGGCGCTGCCGGTAAATCCCCACAGAGGCTCGCAGATGTTTGGGGTTAAAGGTCACAGTTCTGGGGTTTCCCACAGTGGAAACTGTTGCCATGCACAGACTTTCAGTCCTCACCTACTCACTCAGGTGTTCATTACACAGCAGCGAGAGACACAAAGCGCACTTTCTAGTTTGTTTTCCGTCACCATCGTCTCGTCTTCTCTCCCTCGCAGACAAAGAGGAGGTGCTGAGGAAGAAGCAGAAGCCGCTGCCTCACTATGAGCACTGGAGAGGAGGAAGAGGAGGAGGAGGAGCCGGGGGATTTGGTGGATCAGGAGGAGGAGGTAGGAATGTTTCTAAGATTGGCATGAGAAGGGGGATTTCCTCGCATGAACACGAGGAAGGCGTCTCTCAGACTCAAACGGACGCGGCGCCGGGCTTTCCTCAGCCGTCCTGAGTTTTGAATCTTCTTTCTGCAGGATTTCAGTTCCACCAGGAGATGAATGGAGCCGGGGGAGGAGCAGGAACGGGAGGGTTTTTTAATGTCTCTTTCTCTGGCTTCGGTAATGGGGGAGGGGCTCAGATGTCAGGCTCCGCCCCTCAGTCAGGTGCTGCTCAGCAGCAGCAGCAGACCGACAGACAGACAGGAGGACAGAGCGACTCGCCGCTCCGTCAGCAGCTCCTTCAGATCGGTAAGAAACAAAACTGTTCTCCTCTCGTCGTACGCCGATGACGTGCCGCTGTACGCTCTCTCACCTGAACCTCCACCTGTGCTGCGTTTCCAGCTGCTGCCCTCAACAGCAGAGTCTCTCAGAGCGCCCGGCAGACCGCCACCGCCCTGCTGCAGTACTGCAGCACTGGAGACGCTCGCGTCCTCCTCGCCATCCAGAGACACCTGTGTGGCATCCAAGATGGAAACGGAGACACGTGAGTGTTTCTGAGAACCAATCACAGCAAGTTTCTCCTCTGAGGTTTGTTTGGTGGCTTCACGTGTTTGTTTCTCCTTCCAGACCTTTACACCTGGCCATCATCCATCATCAGACAGGTGTGATCCAGCAGCTGATCCACACTCTGCTCAGCAGCCAGCAGCAAGGCATCATCAACACAGCCAACCACCTCCAGCAGGTAAGCTCCTCCCCCTCCTGTCTGATGTAGATAATGAGTAAACCCAGCTGTAACAGGTAATAACATCCTGCATAGTTTACAGGTTACTAGGTAAACTAGAACTCGCCTCATCTTTTTAGCTGCAGTCTGAGGACAGGTAAGCAGAAACTGGCAGATCAGGTGTTTTCAGATGCGCAGGTAAAGTCCTGGGAAGTTTTTCCTGTTTGGAGTGTTTGTGCTCTGATCGGAGCACGGAGCACACACCTGTTGGGCAGGTTAGGGCGCTGCAGGAAGCTGCAAACATCCTTATCACGTGACCGCTGACTCCTCCTCCTCTGCAGACTCCCTTGCACCTGGCGGTGATCACACGGCAGGTGAAGGTGGTGGAGGTGCTGCTGAAGGCGGGGGCTGACCCCAGCCTGGTGGACAAAGATGGCCGTACCCCCCTCCACCTGGCGGCGCTGGCCGGGGACCACAACATTCTTCGCTTCCTGCTGGCTCACCTGGGAGAATGCCACGCCCACCTGGTCAACATGCCTGATTTCCACGGTGAGAGGATGCCACACACACACACACACAGAAATATAAAAGGCTGAAAGTAACCGAAACGTTTCTCTCCGTCAGGCCTCCACCCACTTCACCTGGCTGTGAGGAGGGACGGCGAGCGCTGCCTGCGTCTGCTGGTGGAGGGCGGAGCCAAAATAAACGAGCCTGAGCAGAAGAGCGGGAACACCGCCCTCCACCTGGCCGTCAGAGAAAACCTGTTCAAGGTGGCCTGCCTGCTCATCACCGAGGTAACGAGACACAGCAGGGGGCGGAGCTTCTTTACATCAACCGGCAGTGTGAATCTGATGTCATTAATGTCTTTGTGTTTCCAGCTCCGAGCTGACGTTAACGCCTGCACGTTTGGAGGAAACACGCCGCTCCACCTAGCCGCAAGCCTCAGCTCGCCGACCTTCTGCTCCATGCTCATCGCTGCAGGTGAGACACGCACACATGGGGAGGCGGAGCCACGTTTAACAAACAGGTGATTAAAGGTGGGCTGTTCCTCAGGTGCTGATAAGTCCATCGAGAACGATGAGCCGCTCTTCTTCAGCTCCTCCTCCTCAGACGATGAAGATGAACCAATCAGAGAAGAAGAGAAAGAGCGAGAGGTCGCCCCAAAGACATCCAATCCCCGCAAGAGACCTGCAGGAGGCCACACCCCCCTGGACCTGGCTAAATGCCAAAAGGTAAGTTGTACTTTCAAAATAAAAGCATATTTTCCAGATGTAGAGACGACAGATGTACATGTGATCGACCAACTGCGTAAACAGCGGGGTAATCGATTCAGAGTAATCAGAGTACACCCTCAGGTGGCATTTTCTGAACGTCGTTACGGTTTGTGAGGACGCTAACAGAGAAGCTGTTGTGTGTGGCTACATCACCTCTTCAGGTCAGGAAAGTGTTGTCGCCATCTAAGAGTCCGAAGTCGGATCGCCGCGGCAGCGGGAACATCAGACCGACGACCAGCAGCACTGAAGGTTTGTCGGTTTTCTCTTTTTAGCTGATCGGCTTTCAGATGTTACTAAAAACAAGCTAACGTGAAGCTGCGATGCCGCCACAGAGGTGGAGCGCGCGGGGCTCGACGAGGACACGCTGTCACGGCTCGTGAACGTGCTGAGCGTCGGCGACGTCCCCTGGAAGAAACTGGCGGAGAAGTTGGGCATGATGACGCTGACTCACCTGTACCAGGACAGTCCGACGCCCTGCCGCCAGCTGCTGCGCCATTACAAGGTAAGAGCCACGCCCACTGCACACGTGCCTCGCTGAGGTTGCGCGGGGTCACGTCTGACAGCCGGCCTCACGTGATGGCACCCCACGTGTCCGCCTCTCCCTCTGCCCGAGTCAATTAGAGGTCTCTTCCTGTTAACAGGGAGTTCGTCCTCGCCACCGTTTTAGGGTCTTTACCCTGAAATCAGCTGCAGGTAACAGCTCACCTGCCAGCCACGCCCCGGCTCTGCGACACAAACAGGAAGCATCGCTGGTGCTCATAGATGTTTCCGTAAGCTGTGCTGCTACTTCCTGTGCACACAGTCACATGATCGCTGTCAGTTTATTATTTAGAGGAAGACTCTGTGAGGGACGTTTCCTGTTTATCTCGATCAGGTTGTCAGACACACCTGTGACACCTGTGAGCAGCAACGCGTCTGTTATTACTGCCGAGTCTCTAACGTACCGCGTAAAGCACCTGGAGGGGACTTCGGTGATTTTCTGTAGAACTGAAACAAACTGAATGTCATGGGCTCCTCCTGGTGGAGTATGTGGGTACTGCAGCAGTGTGACTCATGTATCTCACAGGAGCTCGTGGCAGTCTTCCACGTTAAGCTGCAGAGGTGTGCTTTGTGACAGCTGCAGGTCAGATTAAACGTTTGTGTGTGTTTGCAGCTGGGTGGAGGTGCAGTCGAAGGCCTGGTTGAAGCTCTGCAGTCTCTCGGTCTGACAGAAGGAGTCCGACTGCTGAGGAACGCCGAGCTCCGAGACGACAAACACAACACAGGTAACTGACGGAGGCGTCCGTTAGCTCTGCTCAGATCTGATGTTTTACACGCTGCAGCGATAGAGCAGGACGGTACTGAGCATGTGCAGAACAGCGACGACTGGAATCTGTTTTTAGTCTCACATCTAACATCGAAGTGCTGCTTACGTTTTGTTACGTCCAACAGACCCACTCACCTCGTTCTTATTCTTCTCTTCAATCAGACGTCACTGTCGACAGCGGCTTCGGCAGCCAACCAATGGAGGACGTGGAGCCGCCCGCGGGCGTGCAGTGACGAGTGCGTCACGAGCACCATCCTTCTGCGATCCATCAGAAACCTGCAGCGGGTTTCAGAGATCGGACTGTAAACGTTTGCTTCCTGTAGGATCGAGACGAACATTTGAAATCCAGCTCAGCGAATCAAGATGAAGTTTTTTATAAAACAAATACAGAGGATGGACGAATCGACGCTGAAACTGTACCATAGATCTCAGAGCGTGCTCTTTTTAACTTATGTTTCATTTTCCTGTAATAATTTCACTTTATTAAAGAGTATGTGTGTTGTGTCAATAACCTTTTTGAAAAGTTGGGTGGATGAAATGATCAATAAATCTGTTGTTTCACTTTCACACTGAGCTGCTTCTTCTCCATTCTGGAAACTGGAATTTCCCATTTTCTGTCCGGTCTGAAACGCAGCACGCCTGCTCCCTGATATGGACGATCCCAGCACCTCAAAAATAAAGTGACGATACCAAAACTAAACGTATAAGTTTGATGTGAAATATGAGCCAATCAGACCGCACTTCAGAGAGGAATTAAAAATAAACATTGAAGTTTACCAGAATGAAAAGACGGCGACCTGCCCGCCATGTGGCCACGTTTTCTGAGGTAAGTTTAAAGGAGGAGCTAAGCTCGCGGTCTCAGGTGTTTGACACACCGTAATCTCTCAGCAAGAGGATTTTAACTCTGATCCAAGAGGCGAACAAAAAGTGGCGGCTCACCATCAGCACAGGATTGATCCACCTGGAGACGGAGGAGCTCAGACTGCATCATGGATTCTTTCACTGCATCTGTCTCCTGTGCAGAGGTCCTCCCTGCACTGCTGTGTTGTTGTGTGTCTGAGCTACACTGGGACATCGTGCTGGGAGAAGACTGTCTGACAAACCTGACTTCCTGTTTGTCCTTCTGATTCTCCCTCGTTGGTGTCTGACCTTCGTTTCTGTGCAGCTTCTCTGATTTGATGATAACCTTGTTTTAAGAGCCTCCTTTGCACATGTGTGTTCCTTTGTGGGAACATTTTCTGTGTTGTCCTGATTACTCCCAGTTTGTGTTCCCGAGGGTGGTGGGAGTCAAAGAGGACGAACTGGTCTGTGTGTGTGGGTAAACTTCCTCAGTGTTCACAGCACAGTGCAACACTGGTAACCTACAGCAGAACCAGCTTCACCCGATCAGACCTCAGACGCATATTTAGATACGAGTGGGAGACCAAGTTCAATGACATGAGTTTATCGGCTGTTGATCAAGTTGTTTCTTTGTGTGACGAACAGATTTATTTTTAGATAACTCATGACCAGAACTTGCCAAATTTGGCATACGCCATGAATTCATTTACTAGATGATGTCATTGCTGGAAAAACTGTCACTATGTGAGGGAGGGAAGATTAGCCAGTAGTAGCCTCAGCATAGGTACAAAGTCCTGTCTGTGTCACAGCACCGGGTCTGCCACTCAGTGTTTTGTGTATTTCCTGTTTTATTCTTTGATTATTGTGTTTTCTCAGTGTTTCCTGTTTTATTTTGACAGAGTCGTTAGGTTTGTTAGTGTCAGCTGTTTCCTCATGTGTTTCCACTCCCCAGATTACCTCTAGTCTGTGGCTGTATCCCAATTCAGGGTCTGCAGCCTCAACGATCCTCAAGGGCCGCGTACTTAAAGACCGCTAAGGCCGGAAGTGCGAGGCTTGTGAAATGGGACGGTCTAGCCTCCGTTGTGATGCCCAGGTTGCCTAGCAACCATGATACTAACAGCTGGAAACGTGTCATACAGCTGTGTTTGACAGAAATGAAGGAGAAAATCTTTTGTTCATGTGTTTGTTTCTACATGAGCTTTGATCATTCTCTGTAAGATGAAGCTCAGCTATTGAACGGCGTGTATTTGAAAGTAAAGGCTTTAAAACCAAGTTAGTACAAACGTCACTAATGTCACATGACTTTGCCGACATGTGGCCAACAGTAATGTTTTAATGTTCTTCGTTATTAAACATTTGCACATCAATAAGTGACATCATATTCAGTACTTAAAGTTCACTCTTCGGCCGCCCCTCATCCGCCGTTTTTTTTTCCTGCAAAATTATCCACACCCACTGCCGCGCTATGCATTCTGGGATATGTTTTAATCGGCCTTAAAATGCGGCCTTTAAGGCTGCAGACCCTGGATTGGGATACAGCCTGTGTGTTTCGGTCGTCTGTTGCAGGCACGTGCAGAGGGGGGGGGGGGGCTAGAGGGGCTTGAGCACCCGCCCCTTTCCTGATGGGTGCCCAAAGTGCCCTTTTGTTGAGGCAACTTTTAAAAAAAAAAAAAGTTTTTAACATGTGCGTGCGGAGTCCTGTCTGTGCTCCTCAACAATAATATTTAACTATTAATCACAGTTTTGCTAAATAAAAGGATCTGGCTTGCATCAGTCACATGACCACATTTAACCAATGACGGCAGAACGCGCTGGTTACGAGCCGGGAACGAGCTCACAAAGAGCACGCGCATTTTTTCCGGTCCGGAGCTGCAGGAGAAACACAGACTGATGCGACACAACCAGTAAGTAGGTGTACAGCGCACACTGTAGTGTGTAGCACCCAGGAGTAGCTTATTACGTACACGTTGGACTGACGAACTGAAACAAACGAGCGTGCTGTGTGTGCAACAGCGCGACAAACATTAACTGCACAAGTAGTGCTGGTCACAGCTGCTGGCTACCTGTGTAAGGCTGTCATGGGTCTGTAGCTCTGTCACCGTTTCAGGGAACATATTTAGTTTTAAAGTAAGTTTCTGGGCTTTTCCTGCCTTTCTGGAGGGATTATATTTCACTAAAAAAATGATCTAATATGCATGTCCACATAATTATGCATTATTATAATATTTTAAAAAACACACGCTGTATTTTAAAGAACATACATTAAGAAGCAGATTATATTAGATTTATATTTTAAATAAGACAAAATGTGGATGTTACAGCAGTAAAATGATTGTATCTCTACAGTTTAAAAGTGTAATAAGCTTTGCCCTGCACAGAGTGGATAGTGAAACACATGGAATCATCATAAATACATTATTTCATATTTATTACTTCCCCCTCCTCTTTGCTTTATTATTGTAGCTCTAGTAATAAATAATAATGTAAGGATGCCCATAGTATATACAGTATTCTGAAGAAGGTCTAACATGTCACTGTGCGTGCATGTGTGTGTTTTATTTAGATGGATTTTAAAAATAATATTACTCATGATATAACATTGTGCAGACATGGCTGGTAAGGACATGAGGAGGAAACAGCAGGAGCTGTGTGAGGCTACTAAAGGCAGGGCTATAACATTTTTCTGTCATCATTTTATTATAGATTAAGTGCTGGAGTTGTTAGGTGTGGATAATTAGATTATAGTTTATTGCAATAGCAAGTTGTGCCTTGTTCTCAGATAGACAGCAAGTGGAGAGTGATATATGAAATGATGGGATGGAAGGAAGAAGAGAAGCAAAGAGTGAATCACAGGCAGAGCCTAAATTATTTCTCACAGTTTTTTGTGTCCTTATGGTTCCAAGCGCTGTCACCAATCTTTGCATTTAGTTATTATCTCATGACACTTGTTTAATCTGCTACCATCTCTCCTGTGGACTTTTTAATGTTTACAGTCTCAGATCAACACAGCCCTGCCCTTCCCATATTAGACTCTTGATGAATGTGTGTTGTTGTTATTCAGCCTGGTTCAATGTGCCCCTTTTTAACTTTGGGCACCCGCCCCTTTAAACCTCTCTGCACGGCCCTGGTCTGTTGTTCCTCACCGCAGTCATCATCGTTTTCCCAGTTCATAGTTGTTCAAAGGCTCACTTTTGTTTTGCTAACCAGCTCCGTCGTCTCTGCTCTGGGGTCAGTTTAAAAAGACATCGGCGCCCTGACAGCAAGTACAGTGAAATGACATTAAAGAATCATATAGTAATATTAATGTTTCTATACATGCATACAAAATTTCAATGATTGTAAAATAAAACCCAGCGTCAACCCTGAAGTTACTTAGACAAGCTTAAAGTCTTTCTTCATAGTATTAGAGGCCTAGGAAACAGGATCTTTGACTCATCCCGATAACCTCAGGGTCGATCCTGGTTTTCTGTGCCACAGAGGTGGTTTACTTCTTACAATCGTCCTGCTAACTTATGCTGTGAAGCTATAGTCCTGCCACTGCAGGTCAAGTTCCACATTAGAGATCAGCAGGTATGAAATCTCTGCCTGATGGATGGAATTTTACTTTAGTGGCAAAAATGATGACCTCCATCCTAAAAAGCTAACAAAAGCCAAACAGGAGCTCCGTGTCATCACAGAGACGTTTAGATGTTCAAACTTAGCATTCTTGAAAGAAAAACAAAAATCTGCTATTTATTTTCTCTTAAATGAACGTATACTTTGATTCTTAAATGAAAATGCATTGGCCCTTGTATATAATATAATATGCAATGTTTCTTACAAATACTGTTGAATGAATAATTCCTCACTGTTGTTCATTCTTCTATTAATGTAAAAATGCTCATGAATATAAACATTTCTTCTAAGGTCGTTTTCAACAGTTGTTCCTGAGTTAGCAGCTGGAGCTTTTGATAACCAGCGAGGCACCAGAAGCCTTTCAAACTTTGAAACCAACGGGTGCTGCCCCTCGGCAGGCTTCCAGAAAATGGCTGAATAGTAAAAGAGAGGCGGGTTTTAATAGAAATGACAGCGTCTGCATACAGATGACAGGAATCATGTTAAAACTACTAAGAGGAGACATTAAGCAGATAACAATCATTAAGAGTGTTTTCACATCGAAGGGGCTGGACTGTCACAGCTCCTTGAAGTCGGTGCATGAGGTGAGGTTGCACCGAGGTTCTGCAGCTTAAAACGTGAGCCTGTAAACCGAAGGTGCTGGGTTCAAATCCCAGCCACGCCTACCGAGTCAGAGGAGCCGTGACTCGCACGGAGCTCTTCACGATCCTTTGAATAAAAACACTCAACGTCGATGTTTTCTTTTGAAAATCTCTTTATTTTTTGCCTCGAAGCCTTCAGGATGATACAAACAAGTTGTTTGCGTTTCACTAATACCAAACCTCACAGGAAGTGACAGCGTATGTACAGATACTAATCGGCGAGCCGGCGGCGAACATTCAGGCCGCAGCAAAGCCCAAAAACAAAGCAAGTTTTCACAGGAACTAGTTTGTCGTCCTTCAAGAGACGAGCAGAATAAATTAATGGCGCCGCCTCTCTGAGGAGGCTCAACCTCTGCGTCACTCTAAAATATCTAAACCAAAGTGCTCTAAAACGCAGCGAGTGCTAGCTAGGCGTCCAGCCCAACTACGATATGGCTTCTCGAGGTTAATGCGAACATTTATTTACAGGACACAGACGAAGAGCTGAAAGCGGCCGCGACGCTCACACAAAGTCATCCTACGCTGCTTCACGTTGCACAGTGCGGAAATACACGGAGTGTTACAGGATATGTGGGAGATAAATAGGAGTCGGCACCGCGGGAGCAGAAACGAGAAAAGTTAGCAGGCGAAGCAGCGATTTCTCCGCACGGAGATCCACGGCATCGCTGACCCAAATCCTGCCGCCCGGCGGTCACCTGCGCGCAGCTCCAGGTCCAGGCTCAGGAAAAAGCCACAAACGATTTATGTACACTGAACCAAAATGGTTTCCTGAACCTCAACCAGAGCTCAGAAGACCCGAGGGCTTTGTTCACCCTCCATCCACCCCGACCTCCTCCTCATCCTTCATCCTAATCTGAAAGATCACGCTGCATCTACATATGGAAAAATGATTCCTGCAGCCGTAGGCGTGTTGATGTTGAAGAGAAGAAGGATGGATTTTCAAACGGATGCTGACTCTTCAGGAATCAGCAGAGAGTTCGGAGCCATTTCAAAGGTACCGGCGGAGCTGTGCTCAGAGACGGGCCAACGAGACGAGAGCGTCGCGAACGAGCCGAACAATTCAGAGCCGCAGTTCCTCAAAAGTGCTCCAAACATGACTCGTTCCCCAGAGCGCCGTCCATCTTTTAACTACAGGCTGTGTTCCTGGTATGGACCAATCACAGCTCTGCAGCAGTGCCCTGTTAGCTGATGCCACAGACGCCCCCAGCTGAATCTTCCAGCCTCACGTCGGGAACTGCGAGAAGGCGAGGGGAGCAAACCTCAAACACGGACAAAACTACGATGAGTCTGTTTTATAAACAAAGACCTGAAAGCTGCAACTGAGACCACAAGTTCACTTCTATACAAGCCGCCCCCTGCTGGACATTAGACAGAATGCAGGTTAAAACTCAGGATGGATTCAGGTTTTTCCAAAGACGCCAGCTTAAACTGAGCGGACTTCTTGTGTCCAGAATACCTAAAAGCGTTTTTTTCCTTGTTTTCAGTCACATGAAGACTCCCAGTGACCCGGGTTTCATGTTATGAGGTAAAAATGTTCACAAAGAACTGATTTCTGTTCGGTACCTTTGAAATGTTCCCTCTGTGGCGTTGTACCTGCAGCTGAAACACAGCGTGGAGACGCTTGTTCTGGAGATAATAGTCCAGAACGTTTTTCCTGATTTCAGCGTGGAAGCTGCCGTTTCCCCTTTTTCTCTTTTTTCCACAGCCTCGAGTTTCCTCCACAGACGACGCCGGCGGTTCCAGCATTACGTGGCCAACAGTGACAGAAACAAGCTTCAGAGTTTTTCCCTGACGTTAGAGTTCAACATTGATCCTCTGCTGCCACCTGGAGGCCTTCCCTGTCACTGTCAGCCTGATGAGCTGCATCGTGCAAACTCTGCAGCTTTACATAAAAAAAAACTTCCTGTTCCTGAGCTTCAGACCTGCTGAGGTACAGAAGTCACAGAGTGCCAATATTCAAATCCACCTGAAGTCACAGATTTTACTGTCTAAAAAATAAAGGTCAGCACTTATTTCAGAATTAAAAGAGTACCTACTGAACAGGAAGTCATCTTCACCGGATCAGAGGGAGACGTTAGGATTGTGTAGATTATTTATAATATTCTCAGAACCTGGATGTAAACAGAGCAGATTAGATCCCTCTGGTTGAACGCACGTCCATCAACACTGTGATTCAGGACTAATGTTCAGTTTTTGGCACACATCTCGTTTTCAGTCATGGTGTCAGAGACGCTCTGGGCTGTAATCTAAACTCTCAAAGTGGGAAACAACATTTCCACACAGCGTTGAGCTCAGACGAGACCACGCTGTCACATTAACACCCTGACTGACGACCTCCGCCAGTGAAGAACATGTTGGTGGACGCTTACAGCACTCTGGCGACCCCTGGTGGCTGAAAGAGGAAACTGCTGCTGAACATCAGCACGCTGGTCAGGATTTGAAACAAACGGCTCTTTAACAGAAAGCTGTCAGGTGCTTCTTCCTGGATGTCAACGACGAGAAAGGTTTACACAATAATAACTCTCAACTCCTCCTCTCCTACGGTCATGTGACCGAATCCACCTGTCACCTGTTTGGTCCACAGCACTTTACAAACATGTTAAATGAGATTTACATGAAGAAGAACACCGTCCTCATGACGATGAGGTGGACGGATTCCAGCACACACAGAAACTATGGAAGCCCATTAGTGACAAAACCCACAGAGTGAAACCAGCTGCAAAACAAATCCGACTTTTTCAACAAGAGAAAAAATTAAACATACTCTCACCAAAAATGTTCGATTTTCCAAAATTTCTCTCTTAAATTTAAATTTATCCTCATATTTTTATTTAAAAGTTCACACTGAGATTTTTAACTTGTGGTTTTTAAAGTTAAAGATTTTCAAGTAGTACAAACAACAAAACATCAAAATCTGAATAAATAAGACACCTGGCTCTCTGCAGTGTGAACTCCTGAAGTTTTATTTTGTTCCCTCAGCAGATTTTTGTCACTAATGGTCTTCCGTACAGCCTGTTTTTTTCCAGCAGAAGTCAGAAAAACTAAAAACCCGTCTCCATCCAGCATGTTCAGGCTGTATTTACACATCAACGCAGCACTACTGTGATTACTGTGCACACTCACACACACACACTCGCACGCGCTCAGTGGAGTGCAGAGGACGAGGAGGTTCGGCGTTCCTGTGTGGCCGCTCCCTTTGTTTGTTTGTTTATCTCTCGCTCTCTTGTCCCCTTTGCTCGGTTGCCATGGCAACAGTCCCACGCACTCTGTCCGTCACATAACGTCGACATGGCAACCCGCTCTCCTGTGGGTTAATGGGAGAAGCAGAGCGGCGGCGGTGAGGTCGAGGACTAAAATAAAAAGTTCCCGCTGCAGCTGAAAGCTGAGCGGCTACTCACACTCCAGCAGGAAGTAAAGCTTTTATTCTGAAAGTCTGCAGCTGTCCGTTCCTGCTGAGGCCTATGGGAAATAAAGGGACGGCTGAGCGATGAACCGTGTTAGTGTTTCCTGGACGACTCGCCCATCGGGTCGCCCTCAGACCTGACAGGCGTCTCCTCTCCCGCGGACCTCGAACGTCTCGGCCAATCAGGCGACTGAGGTTTAACAGAAAAGGTTTAAAGGAGGATGTCAGCCTGCTACCCATGATGCTCCGTGTCCGTCTCCAGCTACATGACACTTACACGACGCCGTCCTCACCCCTTTACGGCGCCTCCTCCTGTTTGCTGCTCTGTTTCTCCAGCTCCGCCCGCTGGCCGCTCCCACCGCCGTTCTTCTTCTTGCTCGCCTCCCTGCTGCTGCTGCCGCCGGCCTTGGAGGTCGAGGAGGACGTGACCTTCAGGCTCTTTGACGTCTTGGAGCTGCGGGTCTTTTCCTTGTTGGTGGTGTCCTGGGGCAGCGAGGGGCTGGAGTGCGCCCTCTGCAGGCCGCCGTCATCAAACAGCCGAGCCTCAAAGGCGGAAAGGTCCTCATCGCCGCTCGCCAGCTTGGCCCGAAGCAGCATGGCGTACGTACCGTACCGGGTTTTCTGTGGGAGAGAAGAAGGAGGAGATGTGAACAACGAAAGTGCCGTTCTGGGTCTAACGAGGACCAATCAGGGGGCTTTTCAGAGTCTGACCTGATAAATCATCATTATTATTATTATTATTAATAATAACGGTGCTTCTCTCCGGTTTTCCAGCATCTCTGTTGTTATGTGACATCAGGGCGAAACCTTGTGTGTGAAGGGGGCAGGAAAACGGCGCTGTGTTCCTTCCTCTAAGAACACGGCGTGCTGGAGTGTGTGCAGCCTGTTCGACACCCGACAGACTGATGCAGCGACCGTCTGTGACGAAGACGAGCAGACGCGAGGCAGAAGACATTTTACGGCTTCGCATTCAGCCGGAGACAAAAAACACGAGACGAAGATGAAACGCCGCCACAAACAAAGCACGACTCCGGTTATCGTCTGCTCCAATAACGTCTGGGTTTGGTTCCAAGGTACGGAGGACCAAAACCGCAAACAAAAAATCAAAAATCAAAAATAAAACAAAAAACCCACAAATAAGTGACTCGATCAAAAAAATCAAAAGTCAAAAACAAGAATAAGGTAGTGAATCTAATTAACTTGGACTTTGGCATCTCTGGTCCTCCATACTTGGCCTGGAATAATTTTTTCTACGAAATCATTAATTAATTAATTAACTTCTTTGTTTTAATTTAACTGCTAACTATTTTTAATGAATATCGTATTTCATTGAAATGCATTTAAAAATTATTTTGTAAACATTTATTTTTGGCAGCTTTGGTCCTCCATAATAAGGTGCAGATTCAGTACTGAATACAAGTACTGAAATACTTCCTGCGGGTTATTTTAACCTCCTCACCTCAAACTCCAGGTACTCCTGTCGGAGTTTCTGCTCCTCCAGCTCACGACCTTTCACCTTTCGGTCCGGCGTAGCGGCGGTGAGGTCAGACAGCTCAGAGGACACCGCCCTGAAACGGTTCTCGTGAGATTTGACCTGCTCCTCCTGTCGGGACAGAGGGTGGGGGAAGAGGTGTGAGTCTGGTGAAAGTGGGCGGAGCTGAAAAGGACGGCGACGGCGTTTTTACCTGTGACAGTTTAGTGTTGGATCCCGGCAGTAGAGGACGGCTGAACTTCTTCTGGGACCCGATCGCGGCCGGGAACGGGGGAGCAGAAAACATGGCCGCAACTACGTTGATGCGCGTGATCCACGACTGCATCTGCTCAGCGTTCCTGCAGGAAACACAGGAAACACCGTAACTTCCTGTCTCGTCCGGTTTAGTTTAAGCTGTTTGTCCTTCTTGTACTGCCTGCAAGCTGCTTGGAAACCCTCCTCCCCCCCTCTCCCTTAACACAGACAGACTGAGGTGCTTACGGGGCCTGGAACAGGAAGACCCTCCAGTCGGCGGTCCGCAGGTAGAACACGTTGGGCCTCTTGCTGTAATCGGCAGCCCGCATGGCCAGAGAGTGATGGATGGACACGGCGTTCTTCACGTCCTCCTCCGTCAGCTCCTTCTCAGCTCGGTACTCGTCCTGCGGATCAGATTGGCGTCAGCTCTCCAGAAACTCAAACATGAAAGACGCTTAAACGCGATGCTCACCACATTCCAGCTCGACTGTCTCGCTATAAACGCTCGCCGTTTCTGATTAAAGGAGTTAAAAAGAAATCTTTGAAACTGAAACGGTTCTTTCAAAGCTCTGACAAAGTTTCAGAGAAAAAGTTCTCATGGCACAAAAATCTGTGTTTTCATGTTAAAGTGGAGCTGCGAGGAGTCCATAAGTATGTGGACGGGTACTCACGCTTTATAGTTTAACCCGTCCACTTACTTTTGTGCGGCAGTGTGTAAAGCAGGCCTCACTAGTTCAGATATTTTAATCAAAGCTCTAAAGTTAAAGATGAACGCGGCGGTGGGCGGAGACGTTAAAAACTGCCGCTCTGGAATCCGTGCAGATAGAAAAACAGGCTGACGCCTAATCAGCTCGCTGCGTTTCCTGTCCTGCGCCTGACCCGGGGACACAAACAGAGAGAGGGGCTGCTGGGAAACGTAGTGCAGACGCTTACCTTCTGCAGGTAGAGGACCATGCCCTTCAGCATGGCGTAGAAGGACTTCCACCCCCTCTTCCCCCGCGGCGCTGCAACAGCACAAACACCAAACAAACAGGAAGTGAGGGATCAGCTGACAGGGGGCGTGGCAAAACTGAAAACTGAAGGAGGAGGAGCGGTGTACTTCTCTTCCCGTCGGGGTCGGCGTGGACTTTGCGGACCAGGAAGCCGCTCTTGTACAGCTCGCCATCGGCCTGATGGGCCACGCCCACCAGCGGGTTTCCGCTACTCCCGAGGCGTTTCATGGTGTGGGAGGCAGAGTCTGTTCGAATGTCCGCCAACTCCGACATGGACTTCCTCAACTCCTCTTCATCACTTCAAGAGAGGAAACAGTTTAAAAGAGCCTGCGTCAGCTCGTCCTCGTCGCCATCGCAGAGCGTGTTTACGTTTCATTGCTAACGACTCGCTCGGGTAACACCGTTCTCTTCCATCATCCCGTCGGGTTCATGTTTTCCGCTTACCGTCACCTCGCACTTCATTTTCTTTAATTCTCATAAATGAATAAATGACCTCATTTCCTGTGTCAGCCTGTCGATCAGTTTCATCCTCTCAGTGGATCCATTTCGCCAGGTTATCATTTTAACAGAAGTTTTCGAACCTGCTGAAAGTCGTCAGCTGTTTGATGGCAGAGATTTTTAGATGATTTCTCTTCATAACAGCATGAATGTTAAACGTGACCTGAATAAATACGTTATTTATCAGAAAGAAGCTGAATGTCACACAGGAAGGAAACAGTTTAGGAGAAAGAACAGGCTGAACACGAGGGCGGACAGATGCTGAACGGATACAGACACCCAGTAAATCTATGTATTTATGAGTGTGTGTGTGTGTGTGTGTCCACAGTCAGGCATGGGCGTTGGGATGCTGACCTGTAATTACAGTCAGGAATGAAGCAGGGAACGGTTACCACAGCAACAGAGGCTTAAATAAGGGAGTCAGGGCAGCAGGGACACACACACACACACACACACACACACACACACACACACACACAGTGGAGATGTTTGTACGTGCTGTGTGTCGAAGCAGAAACTCACATGGTCCACTGCAGCCTCTCGTTCTTGATGGAGCTGTACAGCGTCTGCAGAAACACACACACACACACACACACACACACACACACACACACACACACACGACATGGATTTCAGGATTCACAGTAATCTGATTACTTGATAGGACATTCAGTATTTAATCCACATTTTTCACGTGCTCAGACTAAAGATGGTCACATGGCCTAAAAGCCAGGTGCTGATTGGCTGTGTGGATTTAATGGCTCTGGTCATCATTTTTAACGGAGACGAGTTTCCTTGGGCGATCAAACCTGGTCCAGTGCTACCTGTTTAAAGGGCCGTCCACACAGGAAACCACGCCATCACCTGAGACCGCCGCTGACACTCAGCCTCATACGAGCACCTGCGAGCAAAATAATCGCTGGTGACAGGAAGTGGGATATTTTGATGTGCGCGACTGAAGCAGCTAGCAGTGAGAGCTGATTGACATATGAGCCGCTGGTACTTAAATTAGCTAGTTGCCCAGGCAACCAGAGGCTGGCGTGTGCAGTATGGACCAGCCGGCAGCAACTTAGGAAGGAGCGGGTCACTTCCTGTGTGGAGGCGCTTTCCCTCGAGCATCGATCTGTATCTGATCCCAGTCTCGGTTCACCCTGTGCCTGAAAACAGCTGGTATAGCCCCTCCCCCTTTAAGCCCCACTCCGTACCGACAACCCACTTTCTTCTGATTGGCCGGATTGTGGAAGCCTGCTGAGGGGCCTTTGTCCATTATTACAGAGACGTGAAGAAAATTTTAATGAACTAAACATAAATGTGTGTCTGACACGGACCGACAACAACGACAATAATAACAAAAACCAGCCAATGAAATATGAAGAAACAGCTGATGTCATCACAAAGGGATGAACACAGGTGTAATGTGAAGCGGTCGGCGCAGAGGATTGCTTTCATAGAGGTTTGTAAACGTGTGTCACGTCAGGAGAGCGTCTTCAGGACGAAAACAAACCTTCACAGGTTTTTAAACGGGGTAACTTAGGTACAGGTTCAGGTAAAGGTTCACAGGTGTGTCTCCGGCTCTACCTTCTTCTTGCGGCTCTGCGGGTGCTGCTGCCCATCCTGGGTTTTTCCCAGCAGGTCGGGGAAGGCCAGCGGTTTGAGGGAGCGGGAGCGGGGGGTCCTGGGATACCTGAACGGGTCGTTGTCCCTCGAGTCCCGCCCGCTCCGGACCGAGCACAGCGAGCGCGAGCGCATGCGGCCCGTGGAGTGGATGCTGTTGACGCCGATCATCTGGGCGGTTTGAGTCGGGATCCAACAGATAAAAAAAGTCCAAACTTTTTATGTTTCCTGTACAGAAGATCCTTGGGCCAGCATTCACCGCTTCCACGGAACGGCGCGGCGGATCTAACAAAGTCCAGCCCGTTGATGACCGCCGGTCTGCGTCGCTTCAGACTCGAACCCACGTCACGAGCTTCCAGACTGTAGATGAGTGCAGGAAGAAGCCGAGGAAGCGAGGAGGTGAGGGTGTGTAAAATAGAGACGGGCTAATGACGGCCACTGACGAGCGGCTGGATGGATGGTGCCTCTGCGAGCTCGGCCTGCTGCATTATGGATCCGGCTCTATTCATTATGCATAAAAACACAGCAGCTCTTCATCAGCCTCATGATCCTGCTGGCTGCCGGCCGGAGCCTCGCTCAGGTGTTCAGAGCCAAAAGCACGAAAGCAGGAGGACGCTGCCAAGAAACAAACCTGTGGACTCCTCTGTGCCTGGAACGCACTGGAATCTGCAGTTACGAGTCAAACGTACGATAGTTTAGTCCCAGGGCTGTGATTTCCAAACTGAGGGACGACTTTCTATCACTCAAAATGTTTCATTCTTGCTATTTTAAATCAAACAAGATGACATTAATGTTGGCTTTAAGGCTAAAATGAGCCTTTTTGTGCACGAACTCATATTTCTGTTTAGGAAAGCTAAAATCATTTTATTTTGAAAATAAATCACATTTATGCCGATGTCTGATAAACTATTTCATAAATAACTGTTTACAATTAGCTTTAATATGTTTGGACTGCAATTCATTTAAAGCAGAAAAATTTAGCTGCAGAAATGAGCGATTCAGACAATCAACATCAAACGTTTGACGTTTTCTACAAATTAATATTTTTTTAAAGGGTTTTACAGTTTTTATACATTTGATCAAATTCAAAATCAATTAAAACTGAAAATTTGAGACTTTAAAGTTGCTGTCAGCCGTCGACACATCTGCCTCCAAACACGCACACTCCAGACTGTCTGAGAGTGTGTGTGTGTGTGTGTGTGTGTGTGTGTGCGTGTGTGTGTGTGTCTGTGTGTGTGTGTGTGTGTGTCTAATCCATCAGCGATTCAGAGGCAGTGACATGAAAATCATCCGAACCACAGCTCTGAGCTCGTCCTGGATTTTGGGGGGTCTGTGCTGCTGTTGAGCCTCCTGATGCAGCGGCCGTGGAGGTGCTGTTAGCGGAGGAGAATCCCTGGACTGCAAATAAAGCTGCGTGACGGAGGAGAGGCATCAGCTCGCTCTCACATCCAAAAAAGAAAAGAGGAAAAGCAGGGAGGCTGGGCGAGCGAGCACACCCACACAGGCAGACAAGGAGAGAGAGAGAGCACCCCCAAAACTGACGTCAGCTTCCTCCAGCTCCCTGATGGAGGACGGACGGACGGACGGAGGGCGGAGGTGGAGGCACAGGAGAGGCTAATGAGGAGAAAAAAAGCAGAGAAAGGAGGTTCTCCTGTTGCACTCTGATGAAGAGAGAGAATCCCTCCTTCCTCCTCCTCACATCTCTCTTGATCTCTTCGTCCTCCAACTTCACTCCCACTCTTCTCCTCCTCCTCATTCACTTGATTTCCTCCTGCAGGAGAATCCCTCTGTCAGGTCAGGTGAGCTCACTCGTCCTCCTCTTCTTCGTCTTCTCTTCCTCCTCCCCACTGAGACACTGAACTGTTGAGGACTGTTTGCTCGCTCTCCCTCCTCCTCCTCCTCCTCTGTCTCCCTCTCTCTTTTTTCCCTCGCTCTCGCAATGCGCATTTTCCCTCAGCTGCAGCAGCCAATCGGAGGCCAGGGATGGGAGCTTCAGCCCGCCTTCTGTCCTCCTTGGAGCTGTCAGTCACGGTGGGTTCACAGAGCTGAATGTAAATGCAGCTGAGAGACGATCAGCAACAAAAACTCAAATTCAGCTGAACGTGAAAAATATGACAGCGAGCCGACGACGTGTGAGCGAAGACACCAATCACATTCACGCCCAATAAAATCAATAATCAATACAGAATCAGTTTTAGCTCAACTTCAGTAAAAGCACACTCAGGATCTGAATGTTGAACTGTGGAAACCGTTTTCACAGCGCCGTGATGAAGAGAGGCAGCTTCCTCCACCCGAGCCTAAAACGACCCTACTATGCTAACACTGATGCCCGTTAGCATCAGCGCTTCTCTGACCTTCGCTGTGCCGCCGAGACCAGGAGACCACAAAGAGACGCAGAACGACCACAACGAGACGCAGAACGACCACAACGAGACGCAGAACGACCACAACGAGACGCAGAACGACCAAAAAGAAACATAACGACCACAACAAGACGCAGAACGACCAAAAAGAAACATAACGACCACAAAGAGACGCAGAACGACCACAAAGAGATGCAGAACGACCACAAAGAGACGCAGAACGACCACAAAGAGACGCAGAACGACCACAAAGAGACGCAGAACGACCACAACGAGACGCAGAACGACCACAAAGAGATGCAGAACGACCACAAAGAGACGCAGAACGACCACAAAGAGACGCAGAACGACCACAAAGAGACGCAGAACGACCAAAAAGAAACATAACGACCACAACGAGACGCAGAACGACCAAAAAGAAACAGAACAACCACAAAGAGACGCAGAACGACCACAACGAGACGCAGAACGACCACAAAGAGATGCAGAACGACCACAAAGAGACGCAGAACGACCACAAAGAGACGCAGAACGACCACAAAGAGACGCAGAACGACCACAAACAGACGCAGAACGACCACAAACAGACGCAGAACGACCACAAACAGACGCAGAACGACCACAAACAGACGCAGAACGACCACAAACAGACGCAGAACGACCACAAAGAGACGCAGAACGACCAAAAAGAAACATAACGACCACAACGAGACAAATAACGACCACAACGAGACGCTGAACGACCAAAAAGAAACATAACGACCACAACGAGACAAATAACGACCACAAACAGACGCAGAACGACCACAAAGAGACAGAACGACCAAAAAGAAACATAACGACCACAACGAGACACTGAACGACCACAAACAGACGCAGAACGACCACAACGAGACGCAGAACGACCACAACGAGACGCAGAACGACCACAACGAGACGCAGAACGACCAAAAAGAAACAGAACGACCACAACGAGACGCAGAACGACCAAAAAGAAATATAACGACCACAACGAGACGCAGAACGACCACAACGAGACGCAGAACAACCACAACGAGACGCAGAACGACCAAAAAGAAACATAACGACCACAACGAGACACAGAACGACCACAAAGAGACGCAGAACGACCACAAAGAGACGCAGAACGACCAAAAAGAAACATAACGAGACGCAGAACGACCAAAAAGAAACATAACGACCACAACGAGACGCAGAACGACCAAAAAGAAACATAACGACCACAACGAGACAAATAACGACCACAACGAGACGCTGAACGACCAAAAAGAAACATAACGACCACAACGAGACAAATAACGACCACAACGAGACGCTGAACGACCACAAACAGACGCAGAACGACCACAAAGAGACGCAGAACGACCAAAAAGAAACATAACGACCACAACGAGACACTGAACGACCACAACGAGACGCAGAACGACCACAACGAGACGCAGAACGACCACAACGAGACGCAGAACGACCACAACGAGACGCAGAACGACCAAAAAGAAACAGAACGACCACAACGAGACAAATAACGACCACAACGAGACACTGAACGACCACAACGAGACGCAGAACGACCAAAAAGAAACATAACGACCACAACGAGACGCAGAACGACCAAAAAGAAACATAACGACCACAACGAGACAAATAACGACCACAACGAGACGCTGAACGACCACAAACAGACGCAGAACGACCACAAAGAGACGCAGAACGACCACAAAGAGACGCAGAACGACCACAAAGAGACGCAGAACGACCACAAAGAGACGCAGAACGACCACAAAGAGACGCAGAACGACCACAAAGAGACGCAGAACGACACTCTGAGTGAAAAATGACCACAAAACAATCCAGGACAACGTCTGTGGCTCTGTGAATATTTAAAGATGATTCTGTGGTGTTTGTTCACCTGTTGGGACTATTACTGAAGTAAACTGTGTTACTGTCTGAGCTTGAGCTTTGAATCTGATCATCCGTTTCCTTTCTTACAAACTGTCCCAAATACAGAGCGCTTCTGCTGTGGACAGCGCGAGGACTTTCCTTCCTCTCTGACTGCAGATAATTCATGTTTTTGTCTCATAAATATTCGACATTCACTGTTTTCTGCTCTCAGCCAGTCAGTCGGTGCTGCTGCCCACACACTCAGCGCTTCATCAACAAGCAGCCATCCAACCAGTGCCAAGCTGAAGGCAAGAAAACACTCAGCACACACGTTAACACAGAGCAACGACGATGATGATGATGGTGGAGGTGAAGAGGTGACGCAGATTCACGTTGATCGCTCCGAGGCTGAGATGGAAAAACTGAGACGGAAACAAAAGAGTGGGAGACTGACACACACGTATCCACGAACGCGCGCACACGCACACTCGTTCTGCCTGGCGGCCATAAGAAGTAAAATTAATGCATCTCTCTCCTTTTTCTGCTCTGACGGCCACAAACCAAGAATCGCTGCGGGGACTTCACCTCCTCCTCAGGACACCAAGCCAGTCCTCACAGTGCCCATCATCCAATTTAACGCTGAAGACTAGTGTAAGGCTGGAAGAATGTAATGTCCTCACAGGGAATGGAAACAAGGATGTGTGCGCGCTCATGCTTTAGTGTCTCTGTGTAGTCCGATGTCACTTTGAACTCCTCACGCTGAGGACGCGTCCACATTACAGGGACAGGTCTGAAATCCGAGCACTCCACTGGGCTGGAGCGGCCCATTTAAGGGTTCACACTTGTGTAAGCATCGTTCTGGTCTGTGGGCTCGGTAGCTGCAAGCACCAACAGTGATGTCATCGCAGGCCGGTGGCCATCCATCCCGGCGCTCGAAGCGTGCTGGACTTGCTGCAGTCTTTTAATCAGTCATAGGCGTGTGTGTGTGTGTGTGTGTGTGTGTCGTACCTTGAGCAGATCTTTGGGAAAATCTTTTCCGTTGTTGAGTCCTTCCAGGTTGGAGATGAACTGGCTGCAGGACATCCTCTTGCCCACGTTCTGCACGCACACGCACACGCGCGCACACACACACACACGCACGCACACACACACACACACACACACACACACACACACACACACACACACACACACACACACACACACACCTCAGATGTGATTGTGACAGACTGAACATGAACACACAGTCAGCTGATCTGTGACGTTAGCTCGGGATGTGAAATCATCGGCTGGTTAGCAGATCAGCTCGCTGAGCTTGGACGACTCGTCCCCGCTCAGCACACAGTAAGTCACCCGTGTTAGCAGCAAAGCTAGTCTTACCCCAAATTACCCAAAGTTAAAACAGCTGTGGGTCGGATCTGACCCCACAAACCAAAGGACGCCTCGCTGATGCTGACGGGAGCGCTGAGAACGCTCTGGAAACAGAAACGGTTCCACCTGATATAAAAGCCGCACAGGTGGAGTTAAACCCTTCTATTCGGTGCTAGAGTCGGGTTTAACGCGAGGGGGGCAGCGGAGACCGTCTTCCTGTCACTCCTGCTGTAACGGTCAGAGGAAACGTGCAGGCATGTTGCCGCAGTAAAAGTCAGCACTTCCTTAAAAAAGTTCATTAGCAGAAATGAAGAATGAGCCCGATGAGCCCGCGGCGCTCCTCAGTGATGACGAGTCAGTCAGTTATTTGTTAGTATTTTCATATATTTGTCACATTTTTAGATCAATATTTCAATAATAACACAAAGTGGATTTTCACATTAACGTCTCCGAATATTTCTTTACTCATTTTTATATTTATTCACATTTTTATAAAACTTTCCTTTTTTAACATTTTTCAAATGATATCATTATAATGAAATTCTGGAAACAAATATTTATCATTTTATTATTTTTTCCGTTTATTAATTTGTTATTGATGAAATTCACACTGAACTTTAATATTTCCTGTATGTCACACCAACAAGGAAGCAGCAGGTGACATGAAACAGGAGGAAACTCGCGGGAACGCTCGAGTGGCAGATGACGCCGACGTGCTTTCAATCGACCAGATTAGGAGTTCCTATTAAACGTAACGACCAATCAGCCGACGGCTCGGGTTCACTCACGTTTCCGTGCAGGTCCGTGTTCAGCAGCATGATGGCACAGGTCAGAGTGTGGACGCTGTCTGTGGGACAGAGCGACAGACAGAGGGGTCAGACGGGTAGGACAGGTGAAAGAGGACAGGTAGGACTGACGGTACCTTCGCTGGTCAGGCTCTCCGAGTTGCACTGTCTGTACCTCCTGGAGAAATGAGCGAGGACTCTCTCTCTCTCCTGAGTTTCCCCCATCAGAGCAAACTGCCTCAGAAACATCCTGAACGAAGAAACAGATGTTAAAGAAGCTCATTATGATGTCACCAGAACACCTGAACAGGTGAGATGAACACAGACACACCCACTGCACAGGTTTTTCACATTAAGCCCTGTGATAGTGCCAGTCCTGCTGTAAACTGACAGAATTTAGGATGAAGTCAGAAAAAGTTCCGCGTTTAAACTCTGAGCTTCTCCATCAGAAAGGTGACAGCAGAGCACGCAGGAAGTGACTGACTGCACGCCACGGCACACCGTGACTGGTTCATATGAACATCTGGACCTCCTGCAGATGTTCAGGAGGCCATCGCGCAGTTGCATAAACATTAAAGAACCGCAGAGCGACGGGAGGTGCTGCCAGTGAGCGAATGTAAGACAATCGCGTCTGCACGCTCTGAAATACACACGGACAGGAAGCGGGACTCACCTGAGCGCCTGGTCGATGGTCAGACCCGTGAAGTCAAAGTTGGTGAGATATTCCTCGGCCACCATCTGACTGAACTCATTACTGCAGAGAGAAGCAGGCGTGTTGGTGTAACACGAGCACGTTTTACTAAGGATTATCACTGTATCACTACACCGGCTGCCTTATTTCTGTGACAGGATATTACAGAAAAGAACAGAGCATTAAACCTCCACCTGCAAACCAGAACTTTACCTGAAAGGTGAACAGGAAGTAAAAATCTGCATGTTTATATTAAACCTGGAACCAGGAAGTAACAGTAAAGCTCGACTAGCTCGTCCCGTGACGTGTCACTCAGACTCAAGGAAGTGAAATCAGGACATTAGCTCTGCTGAATCTCACCGCGCTAACTGCGCGGTGACAACATCGGTTAGCTGGTTGAGTCGCTGCAGTGTGACCAGCAGGAGGCCGTGATATGTTCACTGCACGCTGGAAATTCCTGTTTTTGTTGGATGTGAAAAAATGTAATGTTGTGAACCAGCTCTGTGTGCAGGTGTACTGCTGTAAAGGCCACACACTAAAACTCCCTGAAAGCCTTCAGCTGATCCAAAATGCTGCAGCAAGAGTCCTGACAGGGACTAGAAAGAGAGAGCAGATTTCTCCTATTTTGGCTTCCTGTTAAATCCAGAATTCAAAATCCTGCTCCTCACATACAAGGTCTTAAATAATCAGGCCCCATCTTATCTTAATGACCTTGTAGTACCATATCACCCTATTAGAGCACTTCGCTCTCGCTCTGCAGGCCTACTTGTTGTTCCTAGAGTATTTAAAAGTAGAATGGGAGCCAGAGCCTTCAGTTTTCAGGCCCCTCTTCTGTGGAACCAGCTTCCAGTTTGGATTCAGGAGACAGACACTATCTCTACTTTCAAGATTAGGCTTCAAACTTTCCCTTTTGCTAAAGCATATAGTTAGGGCTGGACCAGGTGACCCTGAATCCTCCCTTAGTTATGCTGCAATAGACGTAGGCTGCCGGGGATTCCCATGATGCATTGAGTTTTTCCTTTCCAGTCACCTTTCTCACTCACTATGTATTAACAGACCTCTCTGCATTGAATCATATCTGTTATTAACCTCTGTCTCTCTTCCACAGCATGTCTTTATCCTGTCTTCCTTCTCTCACCCCAACCAATCACAGCAGATGGCCCCGCCCCTCCCTGAGCCTGGTTCTGTCGGAGGTTTCTTCCTGTTAAAAGGGAGTTTTTCCTTCCCACTGTCGCCAAAGTGCTGCTCATAGGGGGTCACATGATTGTTGGGTTTTTCTCTGTATGTGTTATTGTGGGGTCTGCCTTACAATATAAAGCACCTTGAGGCGACTGTTGTTGTGATTTGGCGCTGTGTAAATAAAATTTAATTCATCAACTGTTCTGCATGAAGTCCCCTGCTCTTCACGTTACTCTGCGAGCCCAAAGTTTTAACACACACACACACACACACACACACACACACACACACACACACACACTGACTTCTTGCTGAGCTGGCGAGCGACGTCAGACTTCCTGAAGCCCTCCAGGTTGTAGAGGCGTTTGGCGAGACGTTTAGCTGCCTCCAGGTCGGGCTTCATGCCGTTGGCCAGCGTGTCGTCACTGCCGCCGAGTGCCAGGCGCTCCGCCACATCGGCCTGCGGGTAGAGCAGCTCGGGCGGTCGATTCACTGGACGCTCCCTGACAACATAAACACAAAAGGAGATTCATGCTTCAGGACTTTCAGATCCTTTTTCACTGAAGGACAAAATGATTTCTGGTTCCTGTTCTCAGAGTTCCTCCTGTGACGCAAACACGCGACACAAAAACACTTGGAGTTTATCTTAAATGTGACAAACACGAGGAGGACTCTGGTTTAATGTGAGGAAATCTGTTGGATTTAAGGCTCAGCTGAGCAGGAGAGGAAAAGATCCCTTAAAAGTTTCAGCTTCAGGGTAAGGAGGAATAACACCCAACTGTGGACAGTTGGAGGGGGAAACTCAAACCCTTTGCCTGGAATCAGCCTGCTCCCCAACAGTCACTGAACTTAGACTCAGCTCAGTGACCAGACTACAAGCTTTTAAAGATTACTGCATTCCACATCTCTGTGACAGGCTTATACCCGAACGTACAGGTCGGAGGGATGTTAACGGAGACGCACATCAATATGGAGAAACTCCAAGTAAAAGACGCAGTTCAACTTCCAAAACTCAGAAACACTTTAGAGCAGGGGTGTCAAACCCCAGGCCTCGGGGAGTGAAAACGTATCCCTGCTGCAACACACCTGACTAAAATTAAAAGGTCATTAGCAAGACTCTAATGAACTAGACTGCATGGTGGCGACCCCTAACCCTACTGAAGTAAATTTAAATAAATATAAGTGTTTGGAAAAATGTACTTCTAAAAGTTCTTTTATTGCACCGTGTTCGTTCACTCATCAGCTTCTGTAACATGAATCAAAAGGCTGAACTGCCACCTCAGCATGCAGTCAAGTTAATTAGTCTAATGACCTTTTAATTTTAGTCAGGTGTGTTGCAACAGGGACACCTTTTCAAGAGTCTGACACCCGAGCTTTAGAGGGGGGTTGGTTGGGTGTACGGAAGGACAGACGGATGGTTGTTTGGATGGATGGATGCTCGGTTGGATGTTTGGATGTTCGGTTGGCTGGACGAATAATTGGATGGACGTTCTGTTAGGTGGATGGATGGATGGATGGATGCTTGGTTGTTTGGATGTTCGGTTGGCTGGACAGATAGTTGGATGGATGCTCGGTTCGGTGGATGGATGGATGGATGCTCGGTTGGATGTTTGGATGGATGGATGCTCAGTTGGATGTTTGGATGTTCGGTTGGCTGGACAGATAGTTGGATGGATGCTCGGTTCGGTGGATGGATGGATGGATGCTCGGTTGGATGTTTGGATGGATGGATGCTCGGTTGGTTGTTTGGATGGATGGATGCTCAGTTGGTTGTTTGGATGGATGGATGCTCGGTTGGATGGATGGATGCTCGGTTGGATGTTTGGATGTTCGGTTGGCTGGACAGATAGTTGGATGGATGCTCGGTTGTTTGGATGGATGCTTGGTTGGATGTTTGGATGTTTCACATCCCAGAGGAAGTTGTAGTTATTCAGAACTGGCAGCATCATGTTCAGTTAAAAACAAAACTTTATGAAAATCAAACTTATGGTGTCCTTCATATACAATAACAATAATAATAAGACAGTGTTAGATTATACAGCAAAATAAAAACATATAAACAAATAAAACTATAAAACTAAACAAGGTAACAATAGAGTAAGCCCAAGTAATAATGAAGGGCCTGCAGTTCTGAGACGTGATTTACAAATAGAGAGTTTATAGTCCGGAGACGGAGAGTTATCGTTGCAGTTTTAAGAGAGGGTGGAACAGAACAAGAGATGAGACAGGAGAGGACAGTATTAGTGATCATCGACCCAAGAGAGCGGACTGAAAGTTTAACAACATTAAGATTGGATCGAGTTACTAATAATAGAAGATTTTTGAATTATTATAGGAAGTTTAAAACTGGAATAAGAAGGCGACAGTAGGAATTACCATATCAGCAGAAGAAGGCAGCTGTTAATGAAGATTCACAGGTTTGGTCTAAGAAAGTCCATAAATGTGTGTGTGCAGCAGAGTGTGTGTGGTAACGGTATCTGAAGGCTTAACAATACTGTATGATGTCAGAGTACGAGTGTAGTGAGCAGATACAGCCTGAGAACGAGCTTCTTTCTAATGCTAGATATGTGAGATACACGTCCTTATGAAGTCCAGTTTGAAGAGACAGCTTTGAGTGCGAGCCCACCAGGCAAGGCTAGCTAGCCCACTCTGGTCAGCCTGGGTCAGCCTGGGTCTGCTGAGGCTGCGCTCGCAGCTGGCTCTGCTCGCCGTACCTCACCAACCAGCTCTCCACCTGCCGCAGGTTCTGTTAGAGCGAGGCTCCGCTCACGGAGGAGCTCCAGAACCGCTGGCTGCACCCAACGTGGAGGAGTCGAGTCGGGAGCAGCCGAGTCGGGAGCAGCCGAATGACATCAGGGACGCCACAACCCGGCACGAGGGAGCCGGGAGCAGCAGCTTGCCAGCGAGGAATCGATCACGGGTGACATCACGCTCTCAGAGGCACCAGAAAATAAAAATGAAGCAACAAACGATCAGCGGATGTTCCAGGACACGGATTTATAGATCGATCATGAAACCGTCAGCGCGGAGCGAAGGCGCGACGATGACTCCGTGAACCTCAGTGTCTTTGTGACCTCACATCTCGCTCACGTGTCACATTTTGAGCATCAGCATGAATACAGCGATTGCTTTCTGTTGCCATGGTTACCCTGCAAACAGGAACTGTTAGCAGCTAATGCGGTGTGACATTTAGCAGGTCACAGAGTGGGAAAAGCTTCCTTTTACATACGTAGGCGGAGACACTGAAGAGGTTATTCCTGAAAAAAGTGATAAATTATGGAAACAGGTGGCGGCGGGCAGCGAGCAGCGGTTTCTGTTTTTATCAGCTTCTTTTTGGGTGTGGAGCGAAAACTCGAGCAGGTACTTGTCTGTTACTCTGGAGATAAAAATACAGAATTCATTCAAACTGAGGAGACGCTCTCCGTCCGCTTTGATAACACCTGATATCCTCCTTCAGTAACATCCAACACACAAACATCCAGTTCAACCAGTGCTCAGTGCAAATGCTCCCAGCCAGCGTCAGCATTTGAACGTGAGAGACGGGGCACATCTAACTGCAAACACGTTAATGCGCCGTGTGCGGCTGTGTTTCCTTCTCCAGCCTGCAGTCTATTTATAACCCGAGTGTTTGCTGCTGCATCGACCAGCCTCTCCTGAAGGATCGATACGGCCTCGTGTGCGCAAACGTCACCAAGCCGAGCAGGAATACTTTTAATTTAACGCACCTATCTGCCGCCGTCGTCGTGGGAATGTGTCCGTTGTCCATCGGCCGTTCTTCGCTCGCAGTTGCTCTTTACATAAACGCACTTTTTAAAACATAAAAAAAACCTCAGGCACGAAGAGGAAATGAAGTCAGAGTTTTGAATGAGAGTCTGAAAGTGGGAAGTGGTCAAACCACCGTGTGGACTACATCTACTTCCCTTAATGAGCTTCCCTTTACTGGACCGGGCGGTCAGCAGGCCTGCAGGCAACTAAAGGTTGTCTCATAACATAATAATTCATTCAGTTATCCATGTAAGTATGATGGATCAGAAAGCAGCAAAGGCATGTTTGTCAGAGATTACAGAGAAACACAACGACGCCGAGAGCCTCTCCAGAAAGAAAACACACCAAATGCAGCCGAATACAAAGCTGGGACAAACCACAGGAAACACAACTACACAGCTACACGACCACAGAAATAAAACAGAAAAACACTTGAAGTGCAATCGAATCTCCTGGAGCACGACACATTACAGGAAGAGCTTCTAATATTAAAAACAGAAAAACATACTGAACGTCCAAATAAACACGACAGTAAAACACGTCTCATTCAATAAAGACAAAAGGTCAGAATAAGAAAACGTGACCACACAACACCGCCGGGTACAGAAAGCACCGCCTGATCCCTGCAACACGATAACCAGAAGCACACGAGTCAGAACCAAAACCAGACGCGGGCCAGAAAACAGAAAATACAATAAAACAACCGACACGACGAGGAGAGCGCAGGGCTGCGCCGCGGCAGCTCGCTGCGCCGGATCACTGCAACATGTTTTATTTTTCCTACAGCTTCAGTTTGTTTTGTTTGACATTTACTCTGATTACTCAAACATCATGTAGGAGTACATGATTACAGGGCGCTGCTGTTACAGCCAATGGCAGGACTGCGAGCGCCTCAGACTCAGAGCTGCATCAGTAGTATTTCCTGGTGAACGGAGGGAATGTGAGTCCGGATGTTTCTGTCGGCGAGTCCCTCCCACACTCGCCGATGCAGCCCACTCATCCCGGACAGAAATAACCAGCGGCCGGGGAACCTCGCTCAACAGGACGCCAGGAAATTCTTTCAGTGCATCTCTGAGTGCTCCGCCCACTTCCACCGACCGAGTTCAAGGTCAACGGCAGGCAGACGACGGCCTGCTCTGCCGCCGCCAACACGCTTCACAGAAAGCGCAGCTGCTTTTACAAAAGCCGAGTCTCGAGTCAGCAGGAAGAACACGCTCGGGTTTGTCGTCACGTCTGCTGTGAAGTAACAAACGTCCTCGTTCAGCTACGGCGGCTCATCGTTACTGACGCACATCAGCCTGCATCCAGCAGCCTCAACTCGTCGATGACCGCAATGTGTCATCAGCTCACGTTCATTTTGAGAGAAAAGCGTTTGAACGCCTGCGTTTCATTAAAAATGGCCGAAGGTTTGATTACACTGATGAGTAGGGATGAGTACTGATAAGATTTTCACGATTCCATTTTCGATTCTTTATCGATTCTTTTTAAAAAAGGAGAACACTAAGGTCGATTAGCTTAGAACTTTGTTTTATATCCTCTCTTGTCCCTGCCTACAATTAAACACATTCACTTACTGAAAATCATCTGCTGTGGCAAATGGGTGCAAGCCTTTGACCACAAACTGAGTCACTGCTCGGTGACATTCGTCTATCCTGCCTGAAAGGAGACGCTACCGGTAGAGTGCAGCGAGAACTGCCAGCATCTGAGCCAGACTCTGTCTCTCTCATCATGGTCACTAAATGCACAGTGATGGCAGGTTTGTAATAAGGCAGATCGCGCTAACATAATATGTTAGTTGATTATTTACCTGCCGCATTAACGGGAGAGGACGTGCAAACGTTACCGCTGCTGCTGGGTTGAGATTCACGAGTCTGGAATTAAAAACACGACATTCATTTAAGGTCATCGTTTTGTGAGCAAATGCTTTTGCATATTCGTAGTGTTTCCTCCCTTAAATGAAATATCTACTTTGCAAGTATTGCAAGTTGCCCTGTTGTCATCCGTTCTCGTAAAGTATAACCAAACTTTTGAGCGTTTGAGCCGCCGTGTTTCCTGCCAGGTAAATGACGCTCCACAACGTGGTGACGTCATTCGGGGCGACTGGAATCGATAAGGGAATCGTTTGCAAAAATGGCAAACAACTCCAAGGAACTGAAACAGTGGGAACCGGTTCTCAACAAGAACCGGGTTTCGATTCCCATCCCTACTGATGATGTCAGAGTTGATGTTATTTTATTGCTGATGCTTCTTAAACTCAGTGTGACTGATCCATCCTGTGACTGTCACAGCAGTATTACAGGATTATCATGATACTGTAATAGTTATGGATTCAAAATGTACTCTCCTTTATTTTTATTAACACATCATTAAAGCTTTATCTTTAATAACTAGAGCATCAGGTGCACAGCACTCGGTGTTTCTGTTAAACATGTTTCACAAATGACAGACTGGACCTGTAAATCAGAACCGTGAGTCCTCTCTAATGGAAAAGCAGCAGCTCTGATAATAATTGTTATTAATTTGTGATGCTGTAAAGCTTTCACTTAAAGCACAGAGCAGCGGTCTGTTTCTCTGTGTTGTCCTGTTCTCTAATAAATGATGAATTTACTGAACTAAACATCAGAGAGAAGAACTACAGCAGGAAGGGGGATATTGAAAACTTTGAGAACTTAAATGTAAATGACCTCCTGTGACGTGCAGATTCTCTGTTTCCATACCAGGTGGAGATGGATGACAGCATTAGGATGCACGCCCAGATCCTTGTTGTTGAAAACGTCCATTTCCATTTTTCATCAGGCCCAATCTGGACACCTGGCGCTCCCCCCATCTGAGCTGAGACTGGTTTGATCCACCAGCTGAGACAGAGAGGCTTAGAACAATGAGTCACCGAGCAGCAGAGCGAAAAAACAAGACAGAAAGCTCGAAAACGAAAGGCCGGACGGGAGGAAAGCAGGAATGCAGAGAAAGGCAGAAACGCTGTTATTTTCCAGGGCGTGTCAGTCAGACTCACACCACAACAACCAAACCACAAACAGGCGCTGAGTGACAGCCAGCCGACACGAACATGAGGCTCTCGGAGCCCAGGTTTAAAGAGTTAGCCTGCTGTTAATCAGTGTTTGTGTTCATGTCAACAAAGCCCACATGCAGACCCCAAAGCAGCGCCGATGGAAAGCGTCTACAAACAGCTCACAGACCGACTGGTTCACAGTTCAGAATGACGCACGTGACCAATAATATGGCTGCTGTGAGGCTACTATACAGACTGTGTGAGGAGGCGGAGCTTCAGTTGGGCTGCACAGTGAAATTTGATTTGGATGTTACTGATTAGCAGATATCTGTGTCTGAGCGATGCTAACATGCAGCCAATAGCTTAGCCTCGCGTCCAGACGTGGTCATCAAACCCGTCCAGATTTAGTGATCCGGTTTGGAAACACTGCCATGGCAACATGTGCCAGACTTTATCCTCAATCAGTCTGAAACAAACCCAAACGTCGTCCTGTAACCCGAGGACGATGAGACACCTCAGTGAAAGCGTGAGGCTTTCCTCAGACGGAGGTAAAAACAGCTCAGCCGTCACATGTCCCGCTCAGGCCTCACCATGAATCCAGCGCTTGATCTATAATGGATGCTCAGCTGGAAAGTTAAAACAGCAAACTTCCTGCAAACTCCAGAGGAGATCCTCTGCCTGCAGGGACTTTTATTCAGCAGGAACGTCTGGACCCAGTAAAAATCGCAGAAAGGTTCATTATGGAGTCTGTTTGAAGCGATGCGAAGCGAAGCCTCAGAGCAGAGCCGAGTTCCTGCTGAGTCAGATCACACAGTTTAACAGGAAAACCGAAGCAAGCCCAGAAACATGCGACGAACTCCTCCATCAGCACCCTGAGAGATAAACCTGAGGCTCACGTCAGGCTGTTAAAGGAGTGAAGGTCACGCCCTCACGAATTCAAACCCAGGCTGTGAAGACTGGACCAAAGGCACTCACAGCATCGGGAAGGGACTCCTAAAAAGATGTGTTGCAGGAAAAGCCTCAGTGTCCTACATAGTTCACACAAAACACTGAGAGGCTGCACGAGCTGCAAGTTAGCTTTTGTGACTGAAACCAACATCTGAGGAATGAGAGCTTTACTAGAATAAACCTTTGAGCGCTCCGAGTGACTTTTAATGTGAACATTTAGGTTTCTTTGATTGAAGGAAAACTTTGTAAAGTCCAAGGACGGTCTGCCTTTAACCTGCACACACAAACGGCAGAGTGGGCCGCAGTTTGCAAAGCTTTCATATATCAGACTGGCTGATGGTCAGTGCGTGCAGCACATCACACAAGCACCGGTTTGTTTTGGTTCCATAATGTGAAGTTTCTAAAACCACACTGTGTCAAATCCACAGTTTTAGTGTTTTTAGGGTTTTAACATCCAGGTTAAAATAGATGTGAAAACACATTTTAGTGAAACACGAATAAAAACTGAACGTACGGTGCACGAGAGCCTGAGTCCGTGTTAGAAATGTCCTGAAGTCCTTAAAGCGACTCAGCTGACTGGTTTTAAACCATCACGATGATGCGTCACATATCAAACACACCCCTTTGCTTCTCAGCCGTGTGTCCCCGTCGCAAACAGCTCACTCGCTCTTTAGTTCAGTTCAGAAACTTCAGTTCAGCAACAAGGACCGAGGTGCCACAGCCCGGACGTGCCCCAAAACCCCGCCCACCACAGCGTCCGACCATCAGGACATCCACGGCGCCATCTTTGGTGGTGACCGCTGCTCACGAGGTTAAAGTAAACTGTCGGTTCAGCTCTAGCCGGGACGGCACACAGAAAGTTTCAGTCAATAAAATAAATGTGGGAATGAAAGGATTCTTCTCCTGCTGGGCCAAAATCAATCCGTCCACAGGTGACTCGAGCTCAGATCAAAGCTTCATCTGTCACGTCAGCTGAACCAAACTGACGGACAACAGCGCGCCATGAAGCAAATCCCAACGCAACACTGTAGCTAAACAGTCGTTTTACTTGTAACTGAATGTAAAGCTCCAGCCTGACCTGCAGTTACCGGGCAGGTTTCCTAAGAGCGCCTCCTGCTGGGCTGGCTGGTACCAGCAGCTGTACTGTAAACTCGGTACGTGACGCCCGAGTCCCGCACCGCCTCTTTTTTATTTATATGTGAAATCTCCTGTGAATCAAACAAACAGCCCACATTATGAAAGAACTGAATCAGAACGAGTGAAAATACAGAGGAAGGCGTGCTGCACGGTAACGGCTGAGCAGAGGTTAAAACTGGCGGGCGGACGGCACGCGTCTCCTCCCAGCCTCCTTCCTCTCCTCGTGTACCCTGACACACAGCAACGACTGACAAACACTGCTGCGGAGAGCGCGCGGCGACGGCGTGGGGACGTTTCACAGAGTTGCATCAGTGGAACAAAAAAAACGAACAGGCTGAAGTCCTGGGAGACGGCGACAGGACTGAGGGGCGTCTAACAGCAGGCCAGCCCAGATCCCTCTCTGCACAACCGCACAAGTTCAGAAAGTCATCGACAGACTGAGCTTACCCTCAGTGAACATTTTTAACAGGCCGCTGTTGGTTTTACAGATAAACTGCAGCTCACGACGTCTTTGAAACAACTTCCACTCATGAAAACAGTTAACCAATCACAACAAGACCCAAGACTCAGCTGATTCTCGTTCACTTTTTTTCTGTAGCTCAAATCACAACAGCAGTCACCTCAAGGTGCTTTATACAGTGAGGTAAAGACCTGCAATAACAGACTATCAGCACACATTTGGTGACAGCAGGAAGGAAAAACTGACAGGAAGAAGCAGGCTCAGGGAGGGCGTAACTCTACAGTGGTATCCATTTCTGCAGCGCTGCCGGTGTTTTCGTTTGCGACGCTAGAATAAATCTGTGTTTATGTGAAAGACGGGCGATATGAAGCTTCTGGTAGACGGACGCTAGCAGCCACAGACTGTATGGGAGCTTCGCTCAGACACGGACGTCTGCGAATTAGCAACATCCAAATCAAATCCTCACATCTCACTGTGCACTCCGCAAACACCTCCAGCTCAGGTGAAGCTAGCAGACACCTAGCAGCTCAAAGAGGCCACGCCCCTAATAATGCGAGCCATTGTTATCTACAGAGCCAATAACAGTTCGTGTACCAGTTTTAACATGGGAGTCCGTGGGGACTGACTCGCTGCTGCCCCTGCTGGACGGTAGAGGAACTGCAGGGTTTGGCATCTGCATGCACTGGTTTTAAACCTCAGCATCACTCAAAAACAGCCGGAGACCAATCACACACCAGAACAGATCATCTCTTTGACCTTATGCTGTGGTGTTGTTTCCTGCTGACAACATTTAACTTTGTCATTTTTGTCAATAACAAATTAATAAATAATAAATTTAAAAGGATAAATTCCCTGCTGACATATTTACAGATCAATGACATCACTGATCTCATGTTTCAGACACAGGAAGCTTTAACCTCACCTGTACACAGCCGGGTAGGGCGAGGCATACATGTACCTGTCCTCCAGAGCCCCGCCCCCCCAGCACAGGATGTATCTCGCCATTACGACACGGCCCCGCCCACTCTCACACAGAGCCTGTGAGAGAGCAGCCGTCGATCAAACAACATCCACATCGACGCCTCCGAACCACGCCGAGCTGTTGTCGAGGGAAACGAAGCGACGTCACCCACACGTTAATCTGATGACATCATTAAGCTATGACATCATCTGCTCCCAGTTCTCCCCTTCATTCGGCGCCTCGGTAAGGAAATCCTCCAGCAGCAGCGCCTCCTCTCTGATCCGTCTGCTTCCAGTCCTCCTCTTCTTTCTTCCACACTTTTGAAACCTCGGCGCGGCTCCTCTTCACAACTTTCCCTCTTTCTCCTCTCCGCTGGCCCGTCTCCTCGTGCTGCCTCTCTCGTCCATCAGCTGGCTTATTTTCCAGCACTGAGGGGAAGGAGGTATGCGCTTCCTCCCCCGTTTGACCCAGGACGCCCCTCCTCCTCCTCGGCTCCTCGCCCTCCCCCCTCTGTCCTCTCCTTCCCCTCTTCCTCTCTTTGTCTCGTCTCACCATCCTGGAAGTTTTCAGCGGCTCGATAAACTTCAGCCTCATCGAGGCGCCGCATGAACGTGACTGAAAGCTTAAGGAGAAACTTGGAACATGAGGATTTCAGCTGAGCGCGAGCAGCAACTTGTCTTTAATGTTCACACGAATAAGATAAATTCAGAATTTACTCATTAAACTGAACTCAGTACAGCATTTATATACACACACATACAGGGGTACAGTGTGTGTGTCACTCATGCAGAGCTCGGCGGGGCGGGACCAGAAGCTACACCTCGTCCAAACGCTGCTCACACATCTTCAATATGAGCCACGACCCTGTAACCATCACTCGTCTGCACCACGTCAGCCTCGCTTCAACTAAAGTGCGTTTTATTCACAACGTCGCAGAAACACGACTACACTGCACACAAACCGAAACAGCGACGGCTCTGATTGGTGGAAGTGTTTAAACAGCAGGTCACACTGTGAGGCTACATCTGTGCACAGCCTGCTGCTGCGCTCGACCCACATCACATCTTTAAACCTTCCAGCTGAAAGTTGATCGTAGAGTCGTTGAAAAGAGCGTGCAGCCGCCGCTCTGCACCACGGTTATCAGAATCCATCTGAAGACACACAACTCAGAGTATTTACAGCCGCACACGAATGTGTTTCAGCTCACAGTAACAGCAAGGGACGTAGCTCCACGGCAGAAGCATCACCACGAACCGAGGGGAAGCAGGTCAGAGGTCAAAGGTCTGAACACACAAACAACAGATGGAAAACATCCACATGAATGACATCGAGGAGGAGGAGGAGGAGGAGGAGGAGGAGGAGGAGGCTTTACTGAAAACATTTCAGACTGTTTCTAGTTTTCAGACAGGAGTGGGAGGTCTTTACTTCCACCCTTCCTGAACCCATCTGGAATTTCCATCTATAGGCTGATGTGTGTGTGTGTGTGTGTGTGTGTGTGTATGTGTGTGTGTGTGTGTGTGTGTGTGTGTGTGTGTGTGTGTGTGTGTGTGTGTGTTTTTACACCTATCCCTGTGAGGACAGACCTCCCACATGAGGCTGTTTGAAGCTGCAGATTAGGATTAGATTTATGGCGGGGGGCAGGGGGGCGGGGGCTGTAGTGCTGGAATGCATCATGTCCTCTTAGGATACGACGCACAGAGGTCCTTCGCGCATGTGAGCGTGAAGGCGCCTGGACTCGATGAGCGGGGACAAGGATACGAAGCTTCGGCCGTGATCCTGTTTTCATGTCCAAGTCTGAATTCCTCGCTCGCTGCAGCGCGATGTGAGTTTCTGCTGAGAACAATAAAGTTTTTGACTGCGTCTGAATTCGTCCACACCCAGCAGAAGCCGTGGCGCGAGGCCAAGAAGGAAAACGGCGAGCTCCTCCAGCTCGTGCTGGGAAAGCTCCCAGCAGCAGGCCGGCTGTTTCCATTTTACTCCTCAGATGTTTGAACGTGTTCGTGAGCAGAGCGACGTTTCAACAACACGAAAGCAAGAAAACGTACGAATTCTTCCGCTGAAGCCAACAACGGGCGGGAGCGAGCTACCCGATTTTATCCCGCCCCAGAATTTAAATCCATATTCTGCTCATTTCCACCTGAATGCTGGTATCCTGCACTCCGCTGGAGCCCGAGCAGGAATACAAACGCTCCAGGTCGTAATCCTTCAGGAGCCGAGCTGCACGTGGGCAGATTAGCTCAACTAATCTGGAGAAAAATAGAACTAACGGTTCAATTTAACAGCCGTGCTGCAGCCAACACAAACAGCAACTGCAAATGACGCTTAGTCAAAATAAACTGAGCAGGAAATGAAATGTTTTATCATTTGTTAAAAAGTAAAATGAGTGGTTCAAGCAGCCCAAAGCAGGTGAACGTGTGAAACTGTGAAGATCTGCAGGAAATCTGCAAAATTAGAGTGAGCTGCAACGATGCGGGTACGGACACGGCAACAGTCAGATGTTGTATTTTGGTAAGTTGTAATTAAAGCAAACGTGACGGTAACATGTGATGTTTAAGGTCAGGAGGAAGCAGATGATTGGCTGCAGAGAGAGGAAGTACGTGAGGGTGGTGCAGGACACGAGAACCGAGGTGTGGAGCAGGAGTGACAGGTGGGGGTGGGATTACATCAGGGATCTGCTCTGAGCTCCTTCCTGTCTGCAGCGCTGACGAACAGACTGACAGGTGACGTCAGGCAGGAGTCTGCAGACAACACTGCGATCTGCAGCGAGAGCGGGCGGAGGGGGGGGCTGGAGAGGTGGAGGCGTGCTCTGGAGAGAAGATGAAGGAAAGTCGGTGGAAGCGAGACAAAGAGAGAACGAGAAGGTTTAAAGATGAAGGTGTTCAGATGTTCAGACCGCTCAGAGCCACAGAGGCTGAGACTGTCTGAGCATGTGCAGAGGAGGGAGGAGGGAGGAGAAGAGGGAGCAGTGAAGGAGGACACGCAGAGAGGCGGTGTAACAGAGAAGCATGCTGGGACAGGAGGTGGTGGAGGCAGGTGATGCTGGTCTAATCAAATCTGTTTGTTTTTGCCTTATTAATCATCCTGATAAACAAATGAAACATCAGCTGTCAGGATGAGTTTAATGCATCAAGTGCTGAACTGGTTTAGAGGGATGCACTGCTGCAACACAATGGATGCAGCGGGACACGCTTCAGCTGACCACACTCCATCAGCTGATGGGACCCGCGTCATGTGACCGCCGTGGTTTGGTTTAAAGGAAAGTAACCGTATAAAGCTGGAAGTGGAGCACGAGAGGATGTGCAACCAAAACCGCTCGGCGAGCATCAAATACGCCATCTTTGTTCTCCACGCAGAGCACGGAGCAAAGGAGAGCGCCGTGGAAACGTGTCGCTCATCGTCCTGTGGGAGCAGCCTGCAGTCAGCCTGCGACTCAGTCGGGTCGAGCTGTGCGTGTTGCATGCTGCATGGACAGAAGTTCAACCATCACCCCTGCAGGCAGCAGCAACCAGAGGAAAAGCAGCTTCAGCGCTGAGTCGAGCCGCTGCTGTCAGGTGACCTGAGCAATCACGCCACACGTTATCCTTTAATAATATCACAAAATAGCCACTGACTTCCTGTTTCTTTGTTGCTATCGAGCTGTGAGCTCGCTCTGCAGCGAGCTTTATCGAGAGGATGATTTTTCAGCTGATTTAGCATGATCTCAGGGCGGTGGTGCATGAGACGTTTGGGGATTTTGTTTATTTAATGAAACATTTGATGTCCCTTTAGTTCAGCTCACCTCGTGCCTCATTAAGTGAAGTGCGTGAGGTAAACGAGGCTGAAAGCTGCTGCTGGTTTTTTAGGCTTTTAATCTGAGGATTAACTGGAGGAAAATAAAACGAGGTTAAAAACAGCTGCAGAGCCAGAGGGTTAAAAAAAGAAACGGAAAAATGTCCCGACTCAGCAAAGCGCCAAACAGAGCCGAGCAAATGTCTGCACTCTCCATCTGTATGACACACACACACACACACACACACACACACACACACACACACACACACACACACACAGAGCTGTGCTGCCACCTTGTGGCTGATCTGAGTCCCTGCAGCAGTTTTCAGCTCTCATCACTTTAATCTGCAGATCACGTTTGCACAGCATCCAGAAAGTGCTACAACACACACACACACACACACACACACACTGACACTAACCAGGAGCTCGTCTCCTCGTCTGGTCGGCCGCAGAACGAGCGAGCGCTCCGACTCACCTGATGCTGCTGTGGAGCGCTGGTGTCGAGCTCGCCTTCCTGAAGCCGTCTTTGAGGATGGAGCGACGCCACGACTCTCTCTCCGACTTGGACCTGACCGGAGGGCCGCCGTCGTCCTTGGAGCCTCCTCGGAGCCCCGCCCCCGAGGCGCAGAGTGCAAGTTCGGAGCGAGACGTTTCAGAGGCGGCGGACGGGTCCGGACGGGCCAGCGGGGCGAAGCTGAGCTCGATAATCTGCTTGGCGCTCTCGCAGATCTGACTCTGAACACACAGACGAGACAGCGTTATGTCCTGCTGCGCACAGGAAGCCGCGACCCGCCTCCTTTCTGCGTCCTACCTGGATCTCTGGCGTGAGGGTGGGGAGGTCGAAGGTGAATACGGACGTGGATCCCGAGGTCAGCAGGTCCACGCTGTCCAGGCTGCTGTACGACGTGCCCTTGGCCCGGTGGGACTCCATGATGCTCTCGAAGTGGCGGCTGAAGGAGTCCAGGTTGCTGTCGGAAGGTCGGCGGGGGCTGCCGATGGAGATCGGAGACTTGAGGCCCCCGTGGCTGTCGGAGGACTCGGGCGACCTGAGGAAGAAGAGTTAAACCGTGTTAAAGCCTGACTGCGTGTTTAATCCTGGCTTTCAGACGCTCACGCCGAGTCTCCTCATCAGACCCAACTGGGATCAAAGAAAAGTTTAAAAAGCCGAGCGGGAGGAATCTGAGGAGGAAAAGCCTGCACACGGCCTCTCAGTTTACACGCATGTGCATTAAAGAGGATGAAAGAAGCAGGAGAGACGACTGCCTCCTACACAGGCAGCCCTTCTTCCTCAGCTGCAGCTCTGAATATAAAGCAGGGGGGTCAAATAGACGGCCCACTGCGTGACATTTTAAAACGTGGCCTGTCATAGGCCAGAAAAGTAAGATACAGGAAGTCAGGACTTTACTGTTATGTTTAATCTGACAGGAGAAAAGCTTCTTCCAGGATTTACAGCTGAACACAACTTTTGTGGTTGTCGGATAATAAATCCTTCATTTCTGTGTAGCAGCGTCTCGTGTGATTATTCACGCAGGCAGGGCGGAGCTTTGAACATGAGCAGAAACCCTGATGAAAGTCGTAGTTTATAAAGTTTATAACGCAGCCAATAAACAGAAAACGTGCATATTTGTACAGGTAAATGCAGCCGTGTGCAAACAGACAGCAGACTGGAGTAAAAGCGATGCAGCGGCTGCAGAAGAGAGAAAAGCAGAGTTCAGTAAAGCTTCGAGGGTTCGTGGTGTAAATGAGCTCGATGCAAACAAGCCTGAAAACAACAATCTGAGCTTACATCGCCAAGTCTTTGAGTAATCAGTTACTCTAACAGCTCGACTATGAAACAAGCTGCTTCACTAAAGCTCACCCCCCCTCCCCCCTTTCCTCGCCCTCTCACCCCTTCAGCAGCAGGCTGAGCACCTCCTCCTCCTCCTTCATGGCTTTCTGTCTCTGTCGGTCTCCCTGCATCCTGACGCTGGCCCAGCTCACCACTCCTCCTTCTTCCTCATCTTCCTCGTCTTCCTCCTCCTCCCCATCAACCTCCTTCCTTCCACCTGAGCGAGATTTTGGGGAGGGGTCAGCGGGGTTAAAATTGGAGTTTCCGAGGACACTGCGGTTACTCCCGAAGGCCGAGTCCGCCTCCTCGGCTGCCTCCGCCCGCATTACCTACACCATACGAGAGATGATGATAACGTATTTTAAAAGGAACCAGGTGAGATGCAAACAGGTGGAGGCGCACGCACCTCGTCCAGGTCGGTCTCACGGTAGCAGCGCAGAGGCACGGCGTCCAGGTCCGTCTCCGAGTATTTGAGGGTTCGCCGGATGATGCCAGTCTTGGGGGAGGAGCCTCGAGGGTCGGCGGTCACCAGTTCCACCTCGATCTGCTGGACCTCGTGATGAGACAGCTTTTGTCCCTCGGTTTCCCGCCCCCTCCTCTGATTGGCTGGTTTCAGATGGAGGGAAGAGGGTGGGGTGGGACTGGGCGAGCTGCTGGTCGGAGGCGTCGTGGACGGAGCGTCTACGGGAGGAAAAAGCAGATGTTCATAACGCCAAGTGTCAAAGAGCACAAAACAGGTCCTACGAAGTGTTGAAGCTAAACTCTGATTGGTCCCCAGTTTTCTGTTATTTTTATCCAATTCTAGTTTATTACCAAATCTTAGAGGCAACTTCAAGGTGTTCATATTGCAAAGTACTGACCTGCAATAACACAGAGAAACCCCAACAATCAACAACGCCATGTGAGCAAACACTTAGCGACAGCGGGAAGGAAAAACGGCGTTTTAACTGGATGTAACCTCAGAACGAGGTTCTGCATCCGGTCGTCCTTTGCTCAACTCAACCCGGTTACAGGATACAGACATGCTGTTTAAAAGAGGCAGAGATCTGGTTGGAGATTGGCCTGTAATGAGCTAAGACTGCTGGGTCTAGAGATGCTTTTTGAGTAAAGGTGTAACTGCAGCCAGCTTGAAGGCCTGTGGTACATAGCTGATTATTAGAGATAGGTTGATCATATTTAAGATCGAAGCATTAATTAATGGCAGGACGTCTTTGAGCAGCTTTGTAGGAATGGGGTCTAAAAGACACGTTGATGGTTTGGAGGAAGTAATTATTGAAGTTAACTCAGAGTCCAGAGTAAATATCAGTAGTGTTAAAAGTAGCTGTTCCTAATGATGCGCCTGTTGGATGGCTGTAATGGTTAAAAAACCCAGGGTTGCTCCTGCGCTCCTCGATCGGTGGTGAAGGATAAGCTGTTTGAGTCCAGCAGATATCCTCGTGAAACTTTGATGGATCATGGTGTGAATAAAGTTTAACACAGAGGAACCAGCACTAAAACCCTGGATTTGGACCCGTTTCTGATATTTCACTACAGAAACGTACGAGTGCAAACAAATTAGATCAGTTTATACACAGAAGGACTCCAGATAAGCTGTGTTCCATGTTGAGACTTGACTTTATCAATATCAAACTGTCTACAACGACCTGTTGGAGCTCAGAGTTACACCGACACGATCGGAGCTGCAGCTCAGAGCACGCCAGCGCAAACTTTAAGACTCGGTTCTGTGTCGTTTAGGGCTGACGCCCGGTTTTAAGTGAGAACGTACAGAACAGGAAGCGGTGATGTGTAGCAGCACCTGTGAGCACAGTTGTACTCTCTGTAAAACCCCTCTGAGCTTACGTTAAGCTGCAGCTTCGGCTAATTGGCTTAGAAGACGCTGGGAACTCCGGGAGCTCCGTGTTTACTCCACAGCAGCAGAGAAAAGACAGAACGGCCCTTTAACCTGCTGCAAACAGACTCCGGGTCATCAGCACACTGTTGCTGCTGCTGCACCACTACGAGCAGTCCCAGCATCGGTGCTGTCAGACGGTTGGAAGAACACAAAGCCTGTAAGGTCGTATTTACCTGCTGTGGTATCTACGAAGAGGTGGGTGTGGCTTCACTTAAGGGCTGCTGTTAAATTATATATGCTGTAACATTTACAGTGTGATGCCAGAAACACACACCTGCTGCACACGTCTGCGCTTCATAAACAGTCATTAGTAAAGAGCCGCCATCAACACTGGTATTTACCTGCAGACGCCCCGCCTGCTTCAGAAAGCCCACCAACACCGTCACTCAGCAGGTGACCTCCAACAACACTACTGTTTTAACCCGTCCAGGTGTCAGTGCTCATGCTCCCACCTGTTTAATATTCCAGTTTACACTCTGAGAAACTGAGACATGAAATTAGCTGACTGAGTGAATTATTGAAATCTAAGAATGCATTGGTGGAGCGTCGTGTGTCGTCCTACGACTGGACGCAATAAAATTAATCTGACATTTACAGATGTTAGAGTTTATAATAATGTGTGTCTGCTGACATAAACACGTCCATACTGAGAAACAGAGTCTGGACCCAACATGGACAGAAGCGGCTTCTTTCTGATAGAGTTTATGCGGATTTGGTCCACGGTGTAGGACCTGAGGTCAAAGGTCATGTAGGAACTGCCTACCGCACCTTTACTGCAGCGGCTCTTCTGGCTTCCGAACAGGAACTCCCACTTGGCCTGGGCGATCTTCTGCGACCTGGAGGACAGAGCTGTTGCTGATCCGACGTCTGACTGAAACGGACAGGAAGTAGCATGTTTACATGTGTTTATAAACACGGGAAGGAAGCAGCGGTGCGTTGGATACGTGCCGTTCGCTGACACATTAAAGAGAAGCAGAGTTTGAGCTGGTGCAGAAGCTTTTGTGCTTTAATTGCTGTGACAGTCTAAAGCAAAAATCATCATTATGTAAACGTTAGGCCGGTCCTGTTTCAGCACAGCGGGAGGAAACGTGCGCGACGGAAACAAAGACAAGTCGCTGAATCAAAGTGAAAGCTGCAGTTTTACTTTGCTTTCATTATCGATTTATTGCAGTCGAGGTGAAGATGACGACTTACTGGAGCTCACTGACTCAACACACACTCTACTTGATGACCTCCTCTTACACAACCACACCCTCCTCCCCCTCCCATCCATCCGACCTGCATCCCGGAGCCACCGTCTGCCGTATCGTGGCTCGACTGGCTCGAGGTCTCCGGGGACAGACTGTCCCTCAGGCTCCCCGTCACTCCACTGGAGCTGTGAGAGGACGGCCCGGCACCGCCGCTGTGGTCCTGGACGTCCTCTGTCTGATCCTTGGTCACGCCCACACCCAGCCTCTGCTGCTCCTGCCCCGATGTCTTCACCCCTTTATCGCCCCCATCCTTTTCACGACTCTCGTCTTTGTGTGAAACGTAAACTCTGGGAGGTGCCTGACGGTAGTTTTCTTTGAGTTCGCTCCTGTCCTCCATCCACTCCTGCTGCCTGGAGGTCCAGCTCACAGGCAAAGCTTCCACGGTCGGTCTGGAGACAGGTTTCCTGGTGATTTCAGGGCTGTCTCTGGGTGATCTCTCAGACAGGTGATCGTACTGTCTTCGCTCCACGCCAGGTGACCTGTGGTCTCCGGTGTACTGTGGCGGCTGGTAGCGGTGCAGGGAGGACATGTCCTTAGTAGGTGATGCGCTCCGTTTCTGCCGTGGGTCCAGTTCAGGTGACTGAGAGGCAGCTGCACGGTACAATCTAGCAGGCATGGCTGGCGATGCTGGTGAGGAGAGGCCTTTCTGTGACGAGACTGGGGAGATTCGTCCTGGTTTAGTGTGAGGTACTTCCTTGTCAGTTTTCCGGCTGTGGTTCCAGGGATCCACCTGTAAAAGCTCAGGGGAGCTCCGTCCATAAAGGGCGGAGTACGGTTGTGATTCTTTCCGTGCAGTCTTGGGACTCTCGGGCCGAAAAGACTCAGGAGGAGTCGGAGTTCGTCTCTCTGCAAAAATGCTGGAAAGTCTGCTGGCCTCCAGAGCTAACTTAGAAGCCACATCGAGGTTTGAGGATGGGGAGGCACTCCTCCTGCCGCTGACATCGCTGGCTGCGTCACTCGCTCTGCTGCAGCGTGACAACCTGTAGGGACTCCTGCTGGTTAAATTCAGTTTATTGCTTGAGCTGCTGTCTATCCCGTCTGTGGCTTTTTGGCTGGTGTTGGTAGTGTTAGCATTATGGGCGCTGTGATGAGAGGTCCCAGGTGTGCAGGAAGTGCTGGCAGGTAATACGTTAGTTTGAACCTCATGCTGGATGTCTGTGGGCCTCCCTGCAGGTAACGGTGGGTGAAATTTACTTGAGTGTCTAGGGTTCTCGTCTCCCATCCACGGCCTGGGTTTGCTCTGAGTCGGGCCATTGGAGTGCAGTTTAGCAGCTGGATCTGCAGAGTAAGACCAGCAGCTAGTGTGGGCACACAGATGGTTGGAGGCAGGACTTCTGGGTAATCCGTTCACTGGACTACGGGAGAGGGTCCTGTCCAGTTCCATGAGCTGGGTCTTGCACGGCAGGGTGAGGGTGCTGCGGGGCAGGTCAGGTGAGCCCCCCCAGGACTGGCAGCGAGAAGGCTGATAATGCCGAGGCAGGGAGGGGCTGCTGTTCTCAAATCGGTGACCTCCAAATCTGCGCATAAGCTCTGGAGATCCAAACTCCTCAAGGGCCCTGTAGGTGGCACCTCTGGCCACTGAGTCCAGGTTAGCTCTCTGCAGGTAAGGTGAGCCCCGTGGGGCTGGACTCTGAGCCGGGCAGGTGTGGCTCTGTGACAGGTAACCATTGTACGACATTGGATCGCTGAGCCTCTTCCGAAGGTGAGCGGGCAGCACCTTCCTGCTTCCCATTTCCTTGAAAGGACTGTCCGGCTCATTATGAGACAGAGAATTTCGGCGGGCGGCCGTGTTGTGCACGTTTGCTTTCTCTATGTAGCTAAACGACACCACGGATTTCCTCCCCTCATTGCCCTCCACCCCTGGGACCTCGCAGTACCTGCGACCGCTGACTGGTGTGGAGGGCACAGTCAGCCTCCCAGAGGATGTTGATGATGGTGAGATAAACACCCTCCTCTGGTGGGGATCCATGTCTGAGGAACAGATGTGTCCAAGTGAGCCGTGGTGGCGTGGAACGGTCATTCCCGGTGTAAGGACTTCAAGTAACTGCCCAAACCTGTCATGCAGTGCATCTTCTTGAAGCTGGGCGTTCGACCGGAAGTTGACCGACTGCCTGGAGGAGGTCTTTGAGAGAGGCAAGCTGTGGTTCTCGCCCCCCATGTGGTGCTGTATCGGAGAGAGATCCGGACTGGGGTTCCGGCTGGAGTAGGCAGAGCTCCTCTGAGAGTGAGGGAGAACATCTGGACATTGAAGCATCAGATGACTGGAACCATCATCTCCTCGGCCCGGCACCTTACCTTCCTCCTCAGCAACAGACCTCACCTCGACGTACAGGTGGAGGACCTTACCGGCCTGGGACATATCTGCCCTTCCTTTAAAACGCTCCAGAGTTCCCTGCTGTGGACCTGTGCTACAAGTCCAAAAGGTCCTTAGACTTGTTGGTGTCCAGCACAGAATTCATCTAGTCTTTGGTGAGGGGCAGGACTGGGGCACCAGTTCCATCCTGCAGCTGCACATCTTCTCTTCGACCTGCAGCAAGAAACACAGACAGAGTTCAAAGTTAATATTCCAGTTTATCCTCTACAAGGGTTGAATCCATAAAGGTTTGATCATTTAAGCTTTGCTGTTTTAAACCTTCCATTTCCTCAAGATATCAAATCATCCACTTCACCCACTAGGCCAACCTCTGCAGGGTTGGGTTTTGTTTAGGCATAAGCCGAACCCTTAGCTCCAAGTCTGGATTGGTCCACAGCGACAAAGTGGATGTTAAGAGGTTAAAGACACCTAGCATTCCTAAAACTTGGAGACTGAAAAAAAAGATCTTTTCCAAACCAAGAAAGTACAAACAAACTGAATTTGAGGCTTTTCCTGGGTGAATGCTTTGAGCATCGCAGAATGATCATCATCAACAGGAAGTAGTTATTATGTAACTATAACAGTTGCAGATGTCACTAGAAGCTACCAATCATATGGTTTCGACTGTACCACATGAAATTTGCATGTAAAGTGTGACAGAAAGACGTTTTCCACCCCACTAACTGCACAGCTTCAGGCTGATGATCATGTTTGACCTCACGCTTCATCAGTTCTCACCCAATCCTGTATTTAGGTCACAGTGTCCTCAGACTGGTTCACTGCTAGAAACCAAACACCTCATGTTTTAGTCATCAGAAGCAGAGTCCAGCCCCACAGTGTGGGTTAGGAAGGTGAATGTGTGGAAACTGGATGAGAACGAGTGAATTTCAGACAATGTCAGGAAAAAACTCAGAGCGGGAAATTCTCTGATAACGCTCACACTTCTTTTTTAAAAAAATATATATTTAAACTTTATTTTAGAAGCATTTCCTTGAGATTAAAATGCATTTTTCAAAGAACGCCGGGCCCACAAAGAGGAGACCCGGCAGAGAGCAACACAACAGGAGGTTTTATCTAGCACGAACCTCAGGGACAGAAAAATGAAAGCAACGCTGTCAAAACAACAGCTCCTCTCCTCCAGGGTGCACCAGGCCGACTCCGAGGGAGACCGTCGCCAAACGCTCATGGTTTCAGTCCTTCAGGAGGTTCTGGGGGAACCTTGGAGGGGTTCTAGGTTCTGGCTCACAATTTGGTTACAGAAGCACCAAATGTGGATTCGACCACAACAGCTTTGCATGATTTGAGGTTCTTTATATCATACGTTGCCATAATTCAGCTCCTCAGATAATCCTCTGTCTGAAGTAGGCCGTTTAACCCCCACCCCCCGTTTCAACAGCACATGGGCGGGGCTTCTGAAATTACCATATGGGGGTATCCCCTCTGTACGATGTCATAAAGATCTAGAAGAAGAAAAACGCTGTGATAAACTGTTTATAGCAGTCACAGGATTACTGCTCATGCACAGAGCTCATCGTAGAAGGAAGGAGCGTTTGAATGTTTGGAGCGAAAAACTCAAAGTCTTAAAGTTTACATGTACTTGTTTGGTCGGTCGGTGAGGATGATGTGCAGCACGTCACTGTGACTAAACAGGAGCTGAGGGGTGAGGAGGCTCTGCGTGGCCTCAGGGAGATCTTGGGAGTGAAACCTTCGATCAAAGGGGTGAGGAAGGTGTTTGCTGTGCAGTGTGGCTCATTATCAGCTGAGAAAGACAAGCTGCTGCCCTTCTCAGTTCTCTGGTATCTACATGTGCTCTCTTGCCCTTGGCCGTCCTCCAACGGGGCGGCAGGAGCGCGTGGGCGAGCAGGCTGCGACTGACACGTGAGTTCAGCTCGTCTGTTAAAGGGAGGAGCAGAAGCAGCTTGACGGGTGTTCAGGTGAGGAGTCGGCAGCCACACCGTGACCTCTGTGACCGCTCCTCCTGAGCGTGTCCGGAGGAACGTCTGCGCAGACCGGCGTGTTTTACACAGCCCGCTCCTTCCATCACGCTCCATTTAACCACCTCACTGAGGCCGCTCGTGCTTCTATTCTCGGCTTTTTACAGCTCCTATCTGTGTCGTCGCCGCTCGCCTGTTCCACATTTTACAGTAAATCTGAGCTTCTGTGCTGCTCGCTGATGTAGGTCAGCAGTTTAGATCACGAGGAGAGGTCACATGAAAACACAAGAGGCTGCAGGAAACAGTGGCGTACAGGAGACGTTTGAGATGCTGATCAGGCGTGACACGTGCTGAGCAGAGGGTCGAAAGGTCATTTCGGTCCCTTTCAGTGTCGTCGGCGTTCACCTGCAAGTGTCTTCCACACGCGTGTGCGTCCTGCAATCGTGCGCCTTGCTGGCACGTGTGGGGGTGTGAAACGGCTTAAAAACCAGTTTTGCTGGTTTCTGTCAGAGGAAATGACACACACACACAAAGTGTTGCTGCTCTGATCTCCTGATCTCGAGTAGATCCAGAACAAAGAACCTGAACTTTGTTATTCTGCTGAGTGAACTTTAGAGCGTGCGCCACGGCGGCGTGCACGAGCAGCACGGCGGATGTGGAGCAGATGTTGGTGCTGAGATGCGAGTCAGTGCGCGTCTCCTCTCAGAAACAACAAGGCGACCTGTCGGCTCGTTTCTAGCTCCTACCGCAGCAGCTTAGCATGATTCATGGTTCAAAATAATCCTTCTTTGTCTTAACTCGGTGCTTCCTCGCCTCTCCTGGCTGCCCCTCACTAACCGGAGGTCTGAGAGCAGAGATTTATAAAAGCGGTGGCCTGCTACTTAAATCAGGCTGAACAGAAGCGTCCACGGTCAGAATTACCATGGCGTTCACTCAGAGGTCTGGTGGGAGGAGCCATCAGTGGAGCTGAGTGTTTTTAAGCCTCCTTTTAAAATGAGAACTTTAATCACATCTATACCTGCAGTTTTCATGTCCTGCAGACCTCTGAGATGAATCTGTGGAAATTCCACAATGGCTACCAACTCAGTGGGTGACTCCTTTGGTCCCGAGATGACCATACAAGATACCCACTCTCTATGACATCATATAAACCCAGGAGTAGAAAAAAACTGAGCGTTCCGATCATTATTAAAACACGTTCACCACGAACAGGAAAACAGGACAAACTCATCAAATCCACATCAAACTGTAGAGCAGGAAGACGTTGCTCTGTGATGAACGGAGAGCAGGAATGATGCTTTAGGGCGAGGAGAGCGAGGAGAGCGACTCCGTGGCGTGATCAGCGGCATTTACAGCTATCAGAGGGTAAAACCTGCATCTGAGGCTGACAGGGTCCAGCAGTGCTTTAATCAGATGTAAGTGCTGCCCTCGGGTTATGTCATACTCAGGTCCCGTGTTTCTGCACCGACGTGTTCACGTCCACAGAGAAGCGACGGCGCTGTAACGATCAACACATTAATAACAATCTGATCGGCGGTTCGTCCTTTTTGCGACGGCGTTTCTGGTAACAAACTGCTACTCTCGTCTTCACAACGAGCATCAGCTCCAAATAATCCTGACACCTGAGTGATGTAACCTGCTACAGGACGCCGTGTCAGGTTTTTGCTTCGGAGCGCGATCAAAGGGCGCTTTGTCTTTCCTGCAGAGGAACATCAGAGAGCTGCTTAAGCGCCCCCCAAACCTCTCTAAGCAGCTCTCTGCCTTTATTGAATCTGACTCCTCTGCTGCTCACGCATCAGTCCTCATCACCGTCACGTCCACTTTCATCACCTCCAGCACCGGACGAATCCGGTGAGATGGGTTTCGCTGTGAAATCTGCAGTTCCTCTAACGTCCACCTGAAGAAATCACAGTTCTTCCAGAACTGCAGCCAATCCGATTTTCTTTCCTTCTCAGCAGAAATCAAGCTGAAGCCTCGTCTCTGCACCAAAGCAGCTTCAAGACAATCAGCTTCCTGTCCTGAACAAAAACACTGGATCATCCCTCCAAACCTGCTTCATGGACAGGTGTGACCAGGCGGGCGGTGCTCCTTTTAATAAGCAACATCATCACAGGTACACAACTCGTGCCAAACCTGCAGTTCCTCTGAGGTCCAGCAGAGGCAGCAGTGAGTCCGTCCCCACAGACCTTCACAGCAGACATAAACATGTTTACAGCCTGATCCACAGACTGTGTGTGGGTCATTTCCTCCTTCATAACAGCTGTACGAGGGGAGGATGTTTTCATAGCTCACCTGGATTAAAGTCTGTGTTGTTAGGGGCGTGGCCTCTTTGACTGACAGGTGGACGGCACCACAGGCGGCCATAGCTCTCAGCCGTCTATTCGGCTTCACCTCAGCTAATTTTTATCTTATCCAGCCAATAACGTGGCTGCTGTGAGGCAGATGTACTAACAGACTTTCTGAGGAGGCGGAGCTTCAGGTTTGTGGTCACAGTGAGAGGAGCCCACTGTTCTCCGACTCGCTGACCTGGACACACATGTGCTTCAGAGGACATAAACACTGAAGTTCAAACGACGCATGGAAGGAGGCGCTCACGCTGACGGCGTCACTGAGAAGGTCTCTGTGAGCTGCAGCTCTGCAAACTGTTGCTGTCTCTGTGAAGTCATTTTCCAGACGCCTGGCTCGCATTTAGCAGCCGGAAAGTTTTATATCTGCAGCCAATTAAAAGCAGAACGTGACTTTAATTCCTGCAGCTGCTGCGAGCGCCCGACACGTCGCCGGCTCTCAGCTGGAACGACTTGAAGCACGAGCGCGTGCGAGTCCTTCCTCACTGACTGCGATCCTCACCCTGAGCTCTCCGGTCAAAGGTCAGAGGAGGTAAAAGAGGCTCCGAGTGTTGCTTCCTGCTGTCGTTGACAAAAGTCTGGCTGCAGAGGAAACACAAAGCAGCAGCAGCTCCTGAACTCTGACCTCAGTTTACAGCCGCTCTTGCACTGACGCTGCCGATCCTCGCTCACAGAGATAACCGAGAGGAAAGGACGAGGGTCAGGGGTCAACTTTGTTCTGCTTCTCTAACTGCAGCCGTGTGTTAAACTGCTGCTGTGCACCGATCAATAATTATTGATAAGGATTTGTCTGTTTCACCTGTTCGTGGTCCAACTTTGACTTCCTGATTCCATATATTTGAATAATTACTGCTGCTAGTTTCACTTTGCCTTCAAACCGTTTTGGTGATTTTATTATCGCCCCCTCGCTTCTATCTAACGGCCACTCAAAGGGGCCCCAACCACACTTTTAGCAGCCAAGCAATAGTTTCTAAACCAGACGACTGGAAACGACTTTGTTTCCCAGGCCTGTTCAAATGTGCCACACAGAGCTGTGCAAAAGTCTTGAGCCACCCCTCAGGTCTGCTGAGCAGCTCTCGAGCTTCCTGAAGCTCCTTAAAGTTCTTCTGTGGACATTGGCTGCTTTTCCTCTCCTGTTCAGTCCTTGTACGGGAGCTTTCTCACAGGAATGACAGTGAATCCCGCACACCTGAGCAGAGGTGCAGTTAGTTAGCATCAGCCTGTCTCACAAACTCATCATCTGTTCCAGTTTCTTTACCAAATCTGTCAAAAATGCCAACGATATCACAGCTTCTCATGAAAACAGGATTTTGTCTCCAACATGGTGATTCCAAAGAGCTGTCAGCTGAAACTCTGCACATCTCAGCATGGTGTCAGTGTGTCCTCAAAACCCTGAGGAAAGTGGACAGAAGAGGAAGTGGGAGGCCATAAAAACTCGACAGCAGCTGAACAGGACCTGAGAGATGATCTGGACCTTCAGCTGAGCCATCTGTGAAGCTGGGTGGAGGCTCTGTCATGGTTTCAGCTGCAGCTCAGTCAGAGCTGTTGGAGATCTTTGATAAACTGATGAATCACAGAGTCTGATCCACCACGCAGGAACATCTGGGAACATCTGACTGACAGCAGCTTCCTGTTCCAGCATGACAACGATGCAAACACACTGTCAGTGCAGAGAAAGCACACCTGGATCTGACACCACACAGCAGGACACCATCAGTCACGGACGGGCCTCCGCAGAGCCACCCTCAGCTGAGGAGACGTCTTCCTGAGGATCCTCACAGAGCTGACAGCTGCTCACACTAAAGCTTGTTTGTGTCTGCATTGTGCAGTTCATGTCTGTTTGCAGCTTAATAAATCTCTTGCACATTATTATATGTTAAAGTTCACAGAAGTTCATTCTTTGTGAACTCTGTCTGAAGCCACCAGCTGCTGTTCTTCCTTCCTGTTAAAACCAAAGTCTCACGATTACACGAACTAATCGACCAACCGAGGAAGCTTCTGTCCGCTGGGAGGTAAAGTCTCCTGATAACTGCAGCAGCTCCTTGAAATATGACCTTTAAAATGATTTTTTGGACTCTACATGGATGAGAGCGTTCAATAATCGTGTCTTACATGCTGCTGTGGTACAAACTGCCTTTGTTTGTGGAGCGTTCAGACACCCTGAGCTCTCCTCCCAGAGTTAACCACGAAGTACTTTTACTTGTTTCAGAGTATTTTTACAAAGTTTTACTGCAGTGAAAGGTCAGATTACTTCATACCTGAGATATAAAGAGTGTGAGATACCTGACATGCTGTCAGAGTGTGTGTGTGTGTGTGTGTGTGTGTGTGTGTGTGTGTGTGTGTGTGTGTGTGTGTGTGTGTGTGTGTGTGTGTGTGAGATAAGCACTCTTAGTCCTTCTTTTCCTGGACTCTGCTAATAGGATTCCCTCCTCCTCCTCCCACCACACACAGCTCAATCCACCACATAAAACCACACGTACACACACACGCCTGCCGCTGTAACCTTACCTGTGTGTCCTCGCTGCGGCAGTTGCCGTGGTAACCCGCCTCTCTGCGTGCTACAGCTGGTTTTATCCTCCTTCGGCCTCCTCTTCCTCTCTGAACACTTGTTGTCTGCAGCAGCGCCGGCTCATCGTGGATTTACAGACTGCGCTCAGCTCCTCCTCTTCCTCGTCTTCCTCCACCTCTACTTCCCATCTCCTGTAATCAGCTGACGCCCCGCCTACCCCTCCTCCTTCCAGACAGTCTGCCAGCCAATCGGGCGCTCCGCCATCCGCAGACCCGGCTCCTTCACAGCCAATGACGGGCAGCTGTGACAGATGGCAGCTTAGGAAAGGTGGGGGGAGCACGGGGAGCGGGGGGTGTCCAGTATCAGGATAATGTGCAGAATTACAGGCTGATTAAACTGTGATGTCACACGTCACTGCAGCGGGACCGGCCCACAGCCTGTGACCTCATCACTCTTTGCGTTACATCAGCGTACACCTGCAGGGGAAAACTGCAGCTGCTCCACAGGGGGCGCTCTTCTGACAGCCCAGTGACCACGTGCCGTGCTCTCAGCACATACACACATCAAGCTGGTACCTTTATACATTCGTGGCCTGTTTGAGTCTCTCCTGCCGACCCCCTCCAGAGACGAGGCGAGGACGTTACTCGCGGAGACAGCTGGGAAACAAAGGAGCAACAAGCAGAAGGTTACAGATTCACTCAATACGCAGCTGCAAAATAATCTGAGCCAAGCTGCACGGGTCCTCTTACCTGTGTCGCAGCTGCTGGGAGTGCTGGTCGGCTCCACTCTGGATCCAGTTTCAGGATGAAGAATATCCCAAACTCACAAAAATATACACTTGTTTTTTCCTGTTATCATTCATCATTTTTAATCTCCCGTTTCCTGAAACCTTGTTGAGGTGCCGACGCCTTTTGTAACAGCTGAAATTATAGGTTCAATTATAAGTTAAACATGAGTTTTTGCAGCATTAGTTACTTTTGCGTGACACACTACAGTGATCCTGTTGTCTGATATCAGCGAGTTCGGTGTGTGTTGAGTGCTCGTTCTTGTAGACCTGAGCATCGTCTCTGCCTCCGCTTAGACCGACAGCAGTGTAATCGTTTTCTCCTGTAAAGCACGGCGTCCTCCAAGAGCTCACTTTCAGAGGAACTTGTTTATTATCGCTCCGCATTCTTAAAACAAAGGTGCAGGATGGTTTCTGGCTGGGTGGTCTTGCCTCGCTCTGCGGTGTTTTGCAGCTCAATGCGAAGCAGCTGTAATGAGAATGAGAACCTCCGAGTCCTCAGCTGCCTATTTGGGAGCATCTCTGGGTTCTGCTCGTGGGTGAGGGAACAGCTGAGCAGACAGACTCGTACAGCCATGACCTGAGAGTGAAGCCGAAGCTGTCCGGCTACTCGTCGAACCACGTTCCTACCCTGATCTATGACCACGGGCTTAGGGTGGTGACAGAAGGACGGGTGCAAGTGTCAGAAATGAGCTTCTTCTGAGGGGCGGAGACAGGATGTGCAGCTCAGTCCTCCACGTCTGAAGGACCCAGCTGAGGTGGTTCACCTGACCAGGCTGCCACGTGGAGGCCATCTGTGCTTAGACTACTGCTGACCAGGATACACAGGATATTCGCTGCTATGCTGACGACGCGCTGCTGTACCTTTAAGCCCCGTCATCGTCCCGTGGACTCATTAGTGCCTCGTCAGCTGTCAGGTCCCACACCTCCTGCACTCCAAACGTTCTCTCGTTTCAATAAATTCACTCTCGTGAAAATAAAAATCCAACCTTAGGTCAGTGATTCTCACTGTGGGCTCCTAAGATTACTGCCTGTGGGCCACAACAAGTCACTTAAAACATTATTATTTCCTCATAAGTCTTTAAAAAAAAACTATCAGTAGAAATGTAACATTTTAAAAGTGGTAGATTTTTACATAACTTCACCTTTCAGAATAAAGTCATACTGAAGATGCACGTCTGGTTTTTACAGGTAAAATGAAATGTTGGGATACAAGAATCGCTTCTAAAATTAATTCAGTTTATCTGTTGAAGGGGAAGAAGCTGGATGAGGCTGGAGATGTTCGGGCTGAGGTCTTTTCTCTGCTCCCCTCTGCTTAAAGACTTTCTAACTCTCCGTGTAATAATAATAATAATAATAATAATAATCACAGAGCTGTTCTATCCTGATATCAGTGATCGTGATGAGGCCTGCTGTGTGCTGGATTACTTTAAAAAGCGTTAAGCTAATAATTTCACGTTGAAGTGAAGACGTGAAACGTGCGATAGAGTTCCTGCTTTTATTTGTGAGATGAAATGAGAAGCATCAAAGAGAAACTGAAAATAACTCGTGCAGTTTGTAGGGATGAAACGCAGCAACGACTGAAGCACGCAACAACTTCAGAAATGACCTCATCGTGTTCGAGTCTTCCACTTTCACGAACACTGTTTGGGTTTGTTAGCAGCTTCAAGGCGAGCACTGACAGCCTGAACACTGTTCGCCTGTCCACATCCACACGAATAAACACGGGGACCCGCTGCAGTTTCTCTTTAAATGACCTCAAATCTGATCCACACAACTTAAACATGCTCGCTGGGACTTTATTTTACAGCAAGAAGCCTTTTCAAGAACAAAGGGTCGGTTTTTGCTGCTTTTTTAGAGCTCTGGTTCCGGCTGTTGTCGGCAGCAGCCCAAACTCCTTTCAGAAATGTGTGTTTTTACCACTCCCCCCAGTAAAATCCACACTTCACATCCCTGCGTGTCATACTAAACCTTTCATTTACATCACAGGCAGACATTTTCATGTCCGGCATGCACTTAATCGACTCAGCAGCCCTGAATGATCTGAAATGTCGACTTTTCCAAGAGCCTGGCATCGCTGTTGGCACCGCTCGGCAGGGTGGACCATCCTTGTGAAGAGGCGCGGGGAGGGTTGTAAAAGTAGAAATGTGACTGAGGGAAACACTGTTTGTGGGGTCAAACGTACCCCGGAATAATGGGCAGGTGCTACTGCCCCGGGGGCAGACCCCCAGCTTTGTTCTCCCGCTTGTTAAATTTCATTCATGAGGGAATCATCTCAAAATGTCATGTTTTTCAAAGGAGATTCGCACGCAGTCCACTTACCTCCGGGATACGATGGGATGCAGCGGGGTCTGCAGCTTTCAGAGACCCCTGCAGCAGCTCGGCGGCACCGCGGCGGACTCCGGGTCACCCGCTCGCTCCATTTCACGGTAACGCTGTCTGTAACGGCGAAGTGCGGGAGTAGTAACTGTAACGGCTAGCTAAGTGAACTAGGTTCCATGGCGGAAGCAGTGAAAGTCCAGCCGGAGGTGAAGAGTCCGCTCGGCTCCTTGTTCTCGCGCTTCCGCCGCTCTTTGCTCGCTTTTTCAGGCGCTTGCTTGACATTAGTTTACGTTCTCCACGGTGACTCCAACTTCCGCATCTTTGGTGACGTAACGGGTCGTTGAGCTACGTCAGACAGGCCCGAGCGGAAGACACGCCTACAACCGATTACGCGTACGCTTAACTTTCAAAATAAAAGCTCGAATAAACTGTGTTTATCCTGCTGCTTTTAGACTTGTGGATGTTTTCTTCTTTATTCTGTTTAATATGAATCCTAAAATTATTTGTCAGACGTTGGTCTCATGTAAAAACAAGTTTTTGTATACACCTGTCTTTCACCTCTAAAATTACTTCTTTTAATAATAAAATTGTTTCCTAAAAAAACCTGGGACAGGTAGACCTTTGTATGTTAGCATATTCATAACGGAAACCTAGTGTCCTGGGATCCACTGGGATCCACTGGGATCCACTGGGATAACGTTCCTGAACCTGTTTCCACGTCACACAGCGCTGCTCAGGTGTCCCAGCAGTGCCTCTATTTCCTCTATTTCACTTTTTTTTATTTTCTCCAGATATGACGTAATGATCTGGTACAGCATATATGTATATATGTATACATATATATATATATATATACATATATATATATATATATATATATATATATATATATATATATATATATATATACATATATATATATATATATATATGTATGTATGTATGTATGTATGTATGTATGGGGGAAAAACATGAAAAATACGTTTTTAACCTGGACTTAAAAACTGGCACTGGTCCGTGTTTAATATGGAGAGGAAGGCTATTCTAAAGCATCGGAGCCGCAGCAGAGCCGCTCGGTCTAAGTGTCAGCCGTGACTTTGGGACAGAAAGCAACAGCTGCTCAGCTGACCGGAGCGAACATGGGGCTTCAATGTTTCCAGAGACGGGTCTCCCAGCAGATTCTGCATGAACGCTGAAGATACTTATTATTTAGACGGAGGAATACTCACACGTGGAGCATCGGCTTTTTACCGGAACATTCACACCAATGTGAACTCTCTCCGTAGCATTACAGGAAGCATCATTTCAAAATAAAATTCCAACAGATGACAATGAAGACATACCTATTAACTAGCCCAACATTCAACAAATCAGACAAATAAACAGGTGCAGGACCATTTAGAGATTTAAAAACCAATTAAAGGACTCTAAAACGGATCCTAGATTCAATTGGAAGCCAATGTAAAGAGGCCAAAACCGGAGTCATGTGGTAGAATTTCCTCCTGCCAGTTAAAAATCATGCCGCGGCATTTTGCACTAGTTGCAAGCGTGACAAAGTGCCCTGCCCAACCCCTATTAAAAGAGAATTGCAATAATCCAAACGTGAAGTAATAAAGGCGTGAATAACAATTTCCAAGTCAGGCTTGGAAAGAAGAGGCTTAAACGTCTGAGGTGACAGAACGCTGATTTCACCACCGCGTATACGTGACCATCAAAGGCAAGTGCAGAATCAATTTTTACTCCGAGATTTGTGATCGAACTCTTTAAATGTAAAGTCAAAGCGGGAAGATCAACATCTGGAGCGTCAGAAAAACGATTTTGAACAAATAGGATCGCTTCCGTCTTACGATCATTAAAATGTATAAAGTTTTTGCCATCAATAAATAAATCGATCACAGGCTGATCACAGCCGGCTGCTGCTGAGCGTCACGGCCATCAGGATGAAGGCTTCTGCTGATTTCTCCCTGTCTTCTGTCCCAGCAGAGAAATGACGCCCTCTGCTGGGATGAAGAAGAAACTGCAGCAGTGACTGCGCTCATGCAGCACATCAGGCTGCTTTTCAGATGAAAACGTTCCCTTTTGATAAAGCATGCAGGTGGGACAGGTGACCCTGACCCAGCTTACACATGATGCACTCAGTGTTTCTTCTTCACTCACCACTGTGCATGCAATCAATACTTATTATTAACCTTTGACTCTCTACCATGCTGTGGCTCATCACCGTTTCCATAGTGACACTGAAGCTTCCAGAAATCAACAGAGACTTCCACAGACTGTAGATAAAAGATGGAAACAGCAGGAATCCACAGCAATGCTTCTCTGAATGACATCATCAGTCCTTAGCGCGCCACTTCAGCTGGTTTAATGGACACAGCGCCAGCAGAGCGAACACTGCAGCGTGTCTGCTGTGGAAGACCTAAATGGACAGCCAGCCAATCAGAGAACCAGCTTGTGATGAGGTCTTCATGGACTCTCTCCTGGTTTGTTAGCTGTGCACGTTTACCTGTGTAAGTCTGACACCCACCTGTGCACATCTGGACTCTTCTTCTGTGGTTTTGTCCTCCCAGAAACATTTTTGACTTTGGAACAAAATGAGAGTGAAATCATTTCAGGTGCTGATGAAACCTGATGAACTCAAAGTGTTCAGGCTGACGAGCGAAACACATCATTATAACTCCCACCTGCCCCCCACACTCAGCTGTTTTTCATCTGCAGTAACCTTCATGTGTCTCATGAAGCCGTGCAAAGCTTCGCCTTCTGACTGTGAAGCTCGTCAGTCACAGACCTTCCTCACAGACCCATTGCGTCCTGATTGGGAGGTTTTTATTGTTTTTGCAGAATCTTTGAGGCCCGAGGACTTCATGAGCCGTCAGCAGATTTACACAGGAAACTAAAAGTTTCATGTCTGTGAAAAACTACCTGTGAGAGGCAGGTTGTAGTGCTGCTGTAGTCTGATCTACGTGACTGCACGAATCCACCAGTTCAGTTTATTGTGTGAAATCAATCAAATCACACTTGTGAACGCTGAGCTCTGAGCTGTCATGACTGATCACATGTGTGTGATACCGTGTGTGTGATACCGTGTGTGTGATACCGTGTGTGTCCTTTTCAGGAAGACAGAAACAAACTATAAGAAGGAGGATGATGTCACCTCCAGCAGGGATGGTGCACACGGCCTCAGAAACATCCACCACATGCGGTGCTGCTGTTACACTAATCTCAGCAGTGCAGGAAGTTACCTGTTAGTGACGCATGTGTTTACAACCACTGGAAACTAAATGTGACCAAAGCAAGAAGACGTGCAGATTCACTGACACACATCTGAGTTTCAGGGGCTCTGACAGGCAGACGTTTGGCTCCCCCGACTGGATGGAAGAGAAATTTGTAAAACTCACCTGTGTTATCTACAGTACAGGTGAGAACGCCACCACACGGTCAGATTTGAGATTTTAAAAGCTTCCAATGAGCCCACAGAACTCCTTCTCAGTTGCCTGTATGTGTCAGCACACGCACACCTGGAGCCTGCAGGTTGGCCCCGCCCACACCTGCCCGCTGTGGGTCCACACAGAGAACAGTTAGATTTTTGTTGCTGTCCTGGAAACAGACGTTTTCCAGTCAGCAGGTAACACAGATTTAATACTACGTCTATTCTGTGAGCTTTACTGGACGCTTGTTTTAAACAGACGATGATAACGTGCTGAGAGTTCATCTGACTGAGACAGTAACACACACACAGCAGAAACATCACAGAGCTTTTATTCGGATGTGAAACAGAGCGCGCGGCTCTCAGGACATCACGCCTTTAGTCTGGATCTCTGAATGACATCGTGAGCTTTAAGAGCACCAGATTTGTGCTCCATTCCTTGTAACAACCAGACGACCATCGTTGGTCAGGGTCAGGCGCATCGTCCTGATGTCGGCGTTAATGGCGGTTCCAGAGCTCCAAACTGGTTTATCGTCCTGGGTGTACAGGACCAGGTTGGAATCCGACTGCAGGAGGAGCCGCGCAGGGTTTTTGCCGTTTGTGCCTGTGGCCCAGATAGGAGACCACTTGTAGACGACAAAGTTGCCATCTTCCTGCAAAGTGGAAGCAAAGAGAGCGGATCAGTTTGAACGTTTATACCGTGAGCTACAAATCATATGGACGACGATACGATTCGTTAAAACAAGGTAGAATAGCTGTGCAGCTTTCAGCAAATCAGGTGTTAAGTGAATATTCAGATGTAATTGTCAGCGTCTGAGACTTCCCACTTCTCTTTATTTCTTTATTCCTAACTTCCTGATCATCCAGAACATCCAGATTGGCCAACAGCCTGTATCCACAGGCTGTGAGGCTCCTGAACTCTCTGCCCCCCTCTCATGGACAATAATCATATCCAACTTCTTAATAGTACTGAACTGGTCTGCATTGGTGCATCTTTCTTAAATAGATAACTATCTATCTGACATCAAATATTGAACGGGTTGCATTGTTGTTTTTGTCATGTTTTCTCATGTCTTTGTCTGAATTTCTTATGAACATTACTGTCATGTTCTCATGTTGTTGTTAAGGATTGTCTTATTGCACTGGAGTCACACTGGGTTAAATATTTACACTTGGGTTTTAAGAGGTATTTATTATTTTCTTCATTATTTTATTTACGGGTTGTACGGAAGCTCCAAACGCAATTTCATTGTTCTCTGACAATGACAATAAATAAATAAATAAATAAATCTCTTTGTTTTGGTGAAATCTCATCATTAGGGCTCTTTTATTCATAGATTCGTTTTATTGCCATTTTCTCAGGAAGGGTTTTCATAAACTTCACTAAAAAATCATTATCAAAAGAAAAGTTTTCTAGCCAGGAAAAAGTGGCCAGTAAAGCTGATCTCTTTCTATATCTGCACGTTAAAGACCAGCTGTCAACTTTTAATGTTACCAGCTGTGTTTTTGGGCCATGTAATCATAAACTGATGAGGACAAGGTCACATTTTCCCACCTGTAGGATGGCTTTGAAGTCTCCATTTACACTGACGAGGGACTCGCCTTTACGCATCTCCTGGTTAGTGCTGATGGAGTTCTTACTCATGATTCTAAAGGACAGAAGTTACAGTTATTTTCATTTAAGAGACATTTTACAGATTTCAGTTCAAATCAGAAACTCTGTGAATTTTAATGCGTGTAAATGAGCCTGCACCATATTTCAGTTTATTTTACCAAAAGATCTAATGCCTGCAGCTACAAACCCCAGGCAAGATTAATTCTTACAGCTGCTGCATTTATGTACAAAGCTGTAACTCACCGGCTATGAACGCAGAAACGTCAGTGGGAGAATCAGATGCTGAACGTGCTGCAGCGACAGA